TTCTGTGAGCGCAGCCCTGGGCGAGGGCACGTGCCGGGGACATGGGCACTGCCGAGCGGCGCCGGGCCCGTGGCTGGGCCACCAGCAAAGGTGGGCAGGAGGCAGAKGGGCAGGAGGCAGCTGAGAGCCAAAGCGGGGACGGGGCCGAGAGGTGTCCCCTCGGAGCAGACGGGAGGGCAGGACAGGGAGGGCCTGGACTTTGCTCCTTGCAGATGTAGCTCCTGACGTGGCAGAATGCACTGCTGAAGGGACWGTGCCCAGACGCAGGTGCCTTCCCTGCATAATGTGCCGTTAAAGGCAAGAAGAGCCCTGGTTGTGCCAAGATGGGAGTAAAACTCCGATCTCRGTGCAGGATGGACTTGTGCTTCCCGCTGCTTGTCCTACGGCCTCCTCCTTCCTTCCTGCATGTGRCTCCATGTGGGCTCCGTGGCTGCTTGTCCTGCGTCTCCCGGGAACACCCCCGGCTCTCCCRGCCCCTCCGTGTTCTCCCCTGCAGCTGCGGCAGCCCCACTTGTGCGCTGAAGTGCAGCAGCCTCAGCGCTGGGCGCGCAGGGGCCCTTGGAGAGCAGCCTCCCTGTTGGAGRCAGCTTCACGCCGCCCTGTCCTGCAGGGACCCAAGGGCCCAGGCTGCTCCCTGGCTGTGTTTGTGAGGAGGAAGCCCCTGGTGCGTGCGAGCGTCTCGCGCCTCTGCTCCTAAGGGAATGAAATCCTGGGATTCAGGGAGCTTGGAGCGGGGACATGCCCAGGGGATTTAGTGCGCTGTCTCTTAATGCTGTTTGTGTTCCTGGAGGTGCTTAGGCTGTCCGAGCACGAGCTCCCGCCAAAGCCGCCGGCCTYGCTGCGCCCGGCGCCGCCCGCCCGGGCGCGGGGTTACGGGCCGCTCCAGAAAGCCAATCCCCCTACGAGCCGAGTAATAACTTAATAGGATTCGCATCTGGGGGAGAATCTCTGACTAGCAAAGTAATAAACCGGCGCATTAGCACTTGCAAGCGGGGCCTTCATTCCAGCGAGGTCTTTCCAGGCATAGCCGCTGTCTCGAGGGCAGCGCGGGAGCCGCTCTGACCCCACGGTGGCAAGTCACGGTGTTGTGTCGCGGTGTCACAGCCCCACAGCAGCGTGTCAGGGTGTTGTGTCGCGGTGTCACAGCCCCAGGGCTGGCTCCCACGGGTCTCTCCCGGTGAGTGTTCGGGTAACATCCATCTCCCGTGGCGCCAGCCCGCAGCGCACGCGGGGCACGGGTGACATCCCCATCCCATGAGCTGCGATTGCAGTGGGAACCCCAATCCAGTGGATCCCTCCGGGGGCTTTGCCAGCTCGGCTGATGCCGCTGTCCGGGCCAGGCCCTCTCTCATCCCTGCCTCTGCTTTCCTTGACAGACCTGTCTGCAGCCAAGCGGAAGTTTGCGGATTCCCTCAATGAATTCAAGTTCCGCTGCATAGGGGACGCGGAGACGGACGACGAGATCTGCATAGGTAGGTGCGGGGCGGCGGGCACGGGGCTGTGCTCCGGGCTGTGCTCCGAGCAGCCGGAGCACGGGCTGCTCGGAGCCGGAGCCACGGGCTGCTCGGAGCCGGATCCACGGGCTGCTCGGAACCCGTGCTGCGTGGCCCAGAGATACGGGGTTCTAATGCCTCTTAATCGAACGTTGGCAAACCTTCACACAGAATCTAGTCCTGTCAAATAAGCAAGGAAGAGGATTGTCCATATCAGAAACCATCTAGATTATCTTTGCCCTTTCCTGTCTGAGAGCAGCGATCTGGAGCTGCAGCCACAGCTGAATGTACTGCCAGGGACTGGGATCTGGAGGGAGACAGCTGGGGCGCTAAGAGCTGGGCCGTGGTCAGGAAAGGGCCATGTCAGACACTCACCATCTACAGAAGGAGCCGTCAGGAGCCCATGGTGCTCTCCAAACCGTGAGCACCTCCCACCAGAGGCGGGTGCAGTGTTTCTGGGTTCAGAGCAGCAACCTCTCCCACTTGGTTCTGTATTTCTGCACAAGCTGGACTTMTAGAGCATCCCGTGCAAACGCTTTGCTTATTGGTTTGTATTGGTCTCTTGGCAAAAATGGTTTCTCATCCAAGGCCTCTCATGGGGCTGGAAAGTGGCCATCACTTGTGTGCTGAGCCCAGCTGAGGCCGGGGCTAACTGTTCTGCTGTCCACTCCGGAGCTGGAATGTGGGACAGGGGCAGCTCCGCTACCGCCACCTTTCATAGGTAGCTGCAAACATCTCTAGGGGCGAGGATGGAGGATAGAAACCTGCCCTGCCGCTGTGTGGGAGCTGCACGAGAACTCGTCTTACTGCACGGATCCAGCAGCCTTAGGCCTGCGCACTGCATTCCGAATGCAGGGCAGGGAAAAATCAGGCTCTGGGGTTGTCCGCCTGTGCTGCGGTGCTTCCGAGCAGCCAGGGCTCTCCTGTTGCTGCTGTGTGTGTGCATCCCTCGCCAGCCCGCTGGGGAGGAGGCAGGTTTGCTTGCTTGGGACTGCTGTCGTCCTAGTAGAGGCCGTGCCGTGCCATGTGTCTGCAGYGCGATCCGGCCTGCGCGGATGCCCTGGCCTTCCTGGCGCGGTGGCCGTCATTAGGGATGTGTTGCTATGACGACATCGAGGATAGGAGTTCAAAAAAAGGAAGCGTTAAAAACTGATTGTGTTGCTGTGTCCCTTTCAGCCAAATCGCTCCAGGAGTTTGCCACGGTGCTCCGAAACCTGGAAGACGAGCGGATGCGCATGGTACGGGTGGTACAGGCGCGGGGTGGCTCCGCCGCGTGCGCGGGAGGCGGGAGCGCGGGGGTCCCAGCGTGGCGCGGGGGTCCCCGCCAGAGCAGAGCAGCCCGTGACGGGTGCCCGTGTCACCACAGATCGAGAACGCCAGCGAGGTGCTCATCACGCCGCTGGAGAAGTTCCGCAAGGAGCAGATCGGTGCTGCTAAGGTAGGTGGCTCTTGGGGCGAGTTGCCACATTCTCCGGGACGCTCCATGCCCGCTCACAATGGAAGCCACTTGGTTGGGAAGCAGATAAATCCATGGAAGCTTCTGCAGAGCTCCCCCACTAAGGAAGCCTGCTGGCCCTGCCTGCCTYGGGATGGGGACAGGCCTGAGCTGGTCCCCGCACCCAGGGGTGAAGAGCGGGACGCAGGGATGGGGCAATTCCGGCTCACACTGAAGTTCCTCGGTGTTCCCAGTTTGCTCGTTACCAAGTGACACACAGATGTGAGCTGAGGACTGAAAATCACGTGCCAACCTGAGCAAACCTTTTTCACCCTCCAAACCTCGAAGGCAGAATTAACAATTTCACAATCGAGTTCCTAGTTGCCTGAGAAAAGCCCCTGGTCTGTTGGCCGCTGTCCCACGTGAGTCCCAGGAGGCGGAGGAGCAACAGGAAGGTTGATGTCCTCCCTTGACCCTCCTGGCACCACTAACCAAATTGCCATCCTGGGCAGCACCTGGATGAGCTGCCGCTAGGTTTGGCACAGGGGTGGGATGAACAACTTTCTTGCTATCCAGCTAATGAGAAAATCATCACATCTTCCTCGCTGAGTTATTTTTGGGTGAGCACTGGAACTGGAAGTATCAATGAGCCTTGGGTCTTGGTGACAGAGAGGAAGCTCTCGCAAGTCTTGGGTTTTGGTAGTGAAACCCATTTTCTCATTGTCCTTTTGGTGAAAAATCCTTTACTTTTTTTCCCTGTGTCTGCCCAGTGCCCCCTGGTTTTGTCCTGTCCAGCGCAGGCTTTGCAGGTGGGGTTAGCCCGTGCCTGGGGCTCGCAAGCCCTGCGTAATGCAGCTCTGATGCCACTGCAGCCTCTGGCAGCAGCACTGCTGTATGTGCAGTAAAACCTTTTGTTTGGTTTTGTAGGATGCCAAAAAGAAATACGACAAGGAGACTGAGAAGTATTGTGGTGTCCTGGAAAAGCATTTAAACTTGTCTTCGAAGAAGAAAGAGTCCCAGCTCCAGGAGGTGAGACCAGTCGCTCGGTTTCCGTGTCCTGCAGTAGCTGGTGCTGACATCTCTTGGAATGTATTCTGCAGCTCACTGCTGTATTTTTCCTGGGCRTATTTTTTGTCCCCATTCTGGCTGCAGTGTTTTGCCCTCATCTTGTTGTCACAAGGCACAGCTTGTTTTGGTGAGTAAATCAGAGAGATCCGCGAAGGGAGGGCCATCAAAAAGGAAGGACAGAGAGTTCCTAATTGAAGGAGGTAGCAAAAGGAAGCGGTTCTGCTGCAGCCTCCCATGCCACGATGAGTCAGGGCAGCCTCCGTTTCCTTCGCTGGAAGGGGCTGTGCTGCCTTGGGCCTTCCTGGAAGAGCCCTCAGGCTGTAACCTGCCCCGGGAGCCTCCCGCTCGTGCTGGGGCGGCCCTCGTGTCACAGGCACCTCTCATGGCTCTGGGGTTCCCCATCCTGCAGGGCCTTCTCCTAAGGGTACAGCTGGTAGGTCCTCAAGCTGCTTTGGAGCGACAGGGTGGGAACAGGCAGGGATTTGGCCACTGGGATAACAGGTTTCAGCGCCCAGAGAGCAGCTGCCTCCATGGCCAAGTCCTCGATTGCTGCCAGCGCRGTGCAGGACGGGGTGAGGTCCACGCCGTGGCCCGTGTCCCGCGGCGGCGCTGGCGGCTGGTGCCATCTGCCGGCACCGCCGGCACGGCCGCGGCTCCCATTCCCGTGCCCACATTCCAATGTTTTCCCTGCGGCGCTGGAAAGGAGGTCCTGGTGACTTTGGCTTTGCAGAGCAGCAAACGTGCCCTGGAAGTTACTGACAGGATGATACCGCCAGCGAGAGAAAGGCGCCAGGCACTTCCTAGCAGTGTGAGCGCTGTTAGACACCCTGACGCCCCAGGAGACGGGGTTGGGTCTGGGAGAGCTGGTGTTTTATATTTCCTGCACTCCTGCTGCCCACTGCTGCAGGATGCTGGTGGCCACATGTGCAACTGCTGGAGCAAAAGGAGAAGGAAAACCCTGGGAATTCTCTGCTGCTTTGGCTGTTGACCGATTAAATAATGCACTGAGTCTAATTTGCCATTTAACTGCTGGCAAAGCCACTTTATTGCATCATATTTTCTCCTTTTCAGAGCTCAGTTTGCTAAATATCTCAGGCTCTGCACCGTGGAGACACAGTACAAGTGCTGATGGCAGGTCATGGTGAAAATGCACCATTTCACGGCTCCGTCATGGAGAAAGCGGGAATGAGTCCCGGTGGAAGGAGGTGGATCTCTGGCAGAGGCTGCCGGCTCCGGCGGGACGAGCCTGCCCCTCGGCCTTGCTCAGCGTCCCGCGCAGCCGCCCACACCGCAGCTGGGGTGCCTGCAGAAGGCACATTTGTCTTCTGCCACAAAGCTGCCGTTTTACCTGTTGGTAAAACAGCAATAACAACAATAATAATAGCACTCGGGGGGACCGAGAACTAGGTGTTAAATACACCTGAATCCTCAGTAGGATAGAGGAATTTACCACCTCTAGAAGCACGGCTCAGTCGCTTTGCAGCGGGTGTCTTAGACTAACACTGCGTTTACCAGTATCAAGCCCAGGGGGATCGCAGCTCACCCAGCCTGGCTTTCCTTGCATCGCAGCTGCAGGAGAGGCTGCACAAAGCCTGCTTCACCTGAGGAAGCTGCAGAATTCCATGACACGGGAGCGCAGCCAGGTGGCTCCTGTGCTCCGTCCCCGCTCGCAGCGCGGAGCCGCGGGGCCCTTTCCGTGCGCCCTGGTTGAGGCACGGCCCTCGGTGCCATCCACAGCGCCCGGTTCAAACATGGGGCATTCCTGGAAACCCCTTGGTTGTGCTTGCCAGAAAACGGAAAATTGTTTCGTGTTGTCACATATGTGGAGACTTCTCCCATGTCTTGCCTCTAGTGCTGATTTTTCTACACAGCTGTCAAGGAGGTGAGAACATAAGAGACACCAACTTTTTTTTTTCCACTAAAGAAAGAGGCTGTTCATGTGAATCAGGACTGTGTTTATTCACCATGCCATCTGCCCAGCCCTGCACCGGTGTCTGAAGCTGAATTTGCATTCAGCGCGGGCTCATTCCCATTAGACCCAGATGTCCTCTAATCTTGACGCCAAATGTTCGGCRGCAGGGCTGATTTTGTGTTTCCCCTTTAATCCCTTGCAGGCAGACAGCCAGGTCGACCTGGTTCGGCAGCATTTTTACGAAGTCTCCCTCGAGTACGTCTTCAAGGTGCAAGAAGTGCAGGAGAGGAAGATGTTTGAGTTCGTGGAGCCTGTAAGTGGCCATTCAAACGCCTTGTGCCTGCAAAACCTTCCTTTTGGGCGTGCTGCTTTCCTGGCTGCTTGTTGGGAATGATGGGAGATGTTGTCCCTTTACTGGAGGGACGAGGGCAGGACAGTGCTGGTGGCACCCGTGCGTGGTGGCCCTGCAGGTGGGCACAGCTCCTTGGCCTGCTGCTGGGGTGGCACTGAGTGCCTGTGGCCACACTGCAGCAAAGACAAGCAGAAAAAGTTCTAGGTCTTTAAAAGTTCCTCTGGGAAATGTCCAATCTTCTCTGCTGTTTGCAAAAAGAAGTTCCTTTTAAGTGAAGAATAAAGTGAGGTTAAGAAAGCAGGACTTTGGGTCTGATGTTCCCAGCCAGCCTTGACCTGCTCTTGGAGAAGCGAGTGTTCAAATAATGTCAGGAGGGAGGAGAGTTAGGCAGGGCAGGGAAGGCTTGCTGTACGTTATGTATTTATTATTTAAGGTGCATTATATATTTATTACTTAACGTGCATTATGCATTTATTATTTAATGAGCATTATGTATTTATTAATACGAGGTGGTTCCAAGCGGGTTTCTTGTGAGCTCGGGGGCTGCTGGGTGGGAGCAGGGGGTGGCAGGGCTCGGTGGGGCCGTGCATGCCCCGGGTGCAGGGTACACGTCACCCCTTGGCAGGGCACCTTGGGGAGCCGCTGCGGGTCCCCACTGAGCATCTCTGTCCCTCTTCCCCTGCAGCTGCTGGCCTTTCTGCAGGGGCTCTTCACCTTCTACCACCACGGCTACGAGCTCGCCAAGGACTTCAGCGATTTCAAGACGGAGCTGACCATCAGCATCCAGAACGTAAGGGCAGGGGGCGGCGAGCCTGGCCGCGCCGGCCTCGCAGAGCAAACCCACGCTTTTTTTGTTCCRTTTTAATTAAGATTTTATGGTACGCCATCAGCCAGGAGGTTTGACAGTAATTGAAAGCAATATTCTTTTTGGTAAATAATGCTACATCGTGCAGGCAGCCTAAATGACGATCTATTCCATATGGTGCTCCGAACACGGAGCTGCAGCCGTTTGCGGGAGCAGCTGGCCCGGCGTCCYGGGAGCCCCAGAGCTTCAGGGAGAGTTGCAGAGCACTTTGCGAGTGCTGCAGAGCGCTGCTTGTCTTAGGAAAGGCCTCATTTCTTGCTGGCCGGGTCGCAGCGTGGCCAAGACGCGTGTGGCCGCCGGGCGCTGCGGCCGGGCAGAGCGGCAGCGTGGGCAGCTGCGGCAGCATCACGACCGTGCCAGTGCTCGTCCCATGGCAGGAGCTGGGGCTGCCCTGGGGTCTCGGTGCTGGCTGAGTGGAAAACACTGGGTGGAAATTCTTGCAATTGTTTTAATGCAGCCTTTTGTGTGAGCTTGAATTTGTACTACAGTGCAAATGTTTGAGGCTCAGGAAGGATTTGTGTTGCCTTTTTCTTTTTCTTTTCATGGAAAGCTGCAGAATTTATTGAAGTTGTCGCAACTTGCAGAGTGGAAAACCACAAGATAGGAGAGTAATTTCTCAGCTTGCTCTTTAGTGTGTTTGATTCTGCATTGTCCGTGGCTGCTGCAGGGTAACGTGCCTGTGTTAACTTGCAGACCAGAAATCGTTTCGAGGGAACAAGGTCGGAGGTTGAATCATTGATGAAGAAGATGAAGGAGAATCCCCACGAGCACAAGAACATCAGCCCGTACACCATGGAGGGTTACCTCTACGTGCAGGAGAAACGTAGGTGCCGGTGCGTCCCGCGCTCCCTTCCTGGGCGCCCGGTCAGAGGCCCCTGGGAAACATGGAGCTCATGGGATTGTGGAAGGCAGGAGATGCAGACTCATTTAGCAAACAACAACGTCTCTGCAAGAGAGTTCGGCCCAATGGGTAGGATATTAAGATATGAAACTGGGAGACAGATTCTCCTTGTGAGTCACCAGCAGTGACTGATAAACTCTCCTTCAGCTTCCCCTGATCAAATGGGGTTAAGAATGGTTTTCTGCCTGTAAAGCACAGCACGAGCCGCAGGGATGGTAATCTGTTATGTTAAGTAATTGCTGTGTGCRGGTTATTAATGGAAATGCACTAAGGCTGTACTATTTCTGGGAGTAAAATTTTCATTTGCTTTGCAGGTCACTTTGGGACCTCCTGGGTGAAGCACTACTGCACGTACCAGAGGGAATCGAAGAGGATAACGATGGTACCGTTTGACCAGAAATCTGGAGGAAAAGGGGTGAGTGGGATGATACAGCAGGTCTGCCCATGGCTGCGCACAGGAGAGGTCCCCGGGGTKCCCATCCTGTCCTGCACGGAGGATCCTGCTTTCAGGCCTGGGGAGCGATTCCCCSCAATGCGGAGTCACTAGTGACCCCYCTCCTCTCTCTGTCGAGCTCAACCGTTTGAAACCATTTGTAGCAAGGTGACAAAAACACAAGTGGACAGGGTCAAAATCATTCCAGGCAGAGTGAGCAGCACACGAGGAGGGAGCTCTGTGCCTTGCAAGGAGGAAAATTCCCTGGGAAGCTGCAGCWCTTCTGCGAGCAGAGGTGACATCCATGAGCGAGCAGCGCCCTGGGGACGTGGTGCTATTTTACGCTCCCGTGCCTCGTTATAACTGAGCTGTGCAATGCCCCAGCCCCCTAAGTGTGGGTTGCTGCAGCGCGTTTTGTGGGGTCTCCCCGGCCCCGGGCTGGCTGCACGGAGTTACCCCGTGCTGGTGGCTGTGGCTCCGGCGCTTCTGCAGCCGTGGGACCTGGAGCCTCGGGTGTCCGGGCATCCCTGGAGCGGGAAGCGGCACGCARTGCGGATGGACCCACGGAGGGCTCCGCATTATCAGCCACTTCCAAAAGCGCCTTGGGCTGCGGCTGCAGCCGGATATTAGTTGGCTGAAACAGTGGCGTTCCTCGAATGCCAGAGGAGAGCGGGGCTCCGGTGCGGCYGCCCCGCGCTCCAGGGCCCGTGGGCAGGCGCAGGTAGCCCTGCCCTGCAGAGAGCCTTGCGGAGCATCCCCAGAGCTGCCCCACAYCCGTTTGGGTCCCTTGCACACTTCCAGGGAAGCAGTGATGTCAGGGAATGGTGGCCAGCCAAGGTGTCCTTGTGAGCCGCACGGCAAGTGCGGAGATTGGCCCTCTCCAGGAACTGCTTCAGAAATTTATTTTCCAGTGAGTCATCGGAGGAGTTTGAAAATCGCAGCCGGCGCTCASAGGGTGAGCGGAGCACTGCGGTGTGCGCCGGCACGGGCACAGCCCTGCGCCGCGCGTGGAACCCCGTGTAACGTGGGCATGGGTGCCTGGGTGGCAGCTGCGCTCTGCCGTTGCCTTGTTGTATCATAAACATTTCAAAACGTGTTTGCTCTGTTTGTGTAYAGAGCGATGCCAAAAATGCAGCCAGCTCTGGAGTGCAAATTGACAGCTAGATCTATGATACAATGCAAGCACTGGAAAATAAAGCTGAACTTGCCCCAAAATTGTGGTCCAGCACTCCCTGGCAGCCTGAAGCCTGGCTCATGGGATGCTTAATGCATGCAGTTTGATCATGTTATTGTGCGCGTTCAGAAAGAAGGGTTCTTGGGCATGAAACCCACCCTGCAAAGGTGAAAGGACAAGTCCTCATTCCAGATATATGAACGTGTGCTGCTCACGGGTGGGGATTTGCTGAGGCTGCCAGAGCTCTCCTCGGGGCTGACCTTGTGGCTGGCGAGCGCGCTGCGGGCAGAGGAGGACACAGGATTGAATATTCTCAACCCAGGGTAAAATTTTGTGTCTTCTCAGGGAGAAGACGAAGCCGTGACCCTCAAATCCTGCACGCGACGGAAAACCGACTCGATTGAGAAGAGATTTTGCTTTGACGTGGAGGCAGTTGACCGGTGAGCGCACGGGGCGTCGCGGCTCGGGGCACACGTCCTTCCTGCCCGCTCCTTGTGCACCCCGGGGCCGAGGCCACCGAGCTGAGCTGCTTTCCCGGAGCACTCTCCTGCAATCCCCGCGGGGTTGCCTTGCAGCAAAGCAGCGCTCCATGGCCGTGAACTTCTCCTGCAGCCTCCAGCCAGGTGCTCTCGTACATTGAGCAAGAGCTGCATTTTACAAGGTGCTGAGTTTACTCAAGTCTCTCTCACTTCCATAGCATTTTARCACTTTTGCAGACTCTGACCACGTCAGGTACATGGGCGTGGAAAGGGCTCTGCACATGTCTTGGCGCCAATACGGCCTCTTTGCAGCTCGAGCGTGTGTCCAAACAMGCGTGGCTTTGAGGCAGGCGCCAGCTGTGGCACTGTGCCGTGGRTGGGGACAAGGGAAGTGGCACTTGCGGCTCCTTCCCGGGGGCTGCAGGCTCCGAGTGCCCGTGTCTGTGGTTGCCTCCAGCAGTGGAGGAGTTAGAAACTCTCCTGTCTTGTTCTGAGCCCCGTGGAGGAAGCCTGGGCGTGATTAAGGAAACAGCCCCCAGGAGGGTCGTCTGCTCCACACGTGTGCTCTGCTTTGGCTTGCAACAACCTGCTCCTTTCTTTCCCAAAGATTAGTGTTACCGGGAGAGCCCTGTGCTGGGGAGATGCCCTGTGGGTGCATGGCGGCCTGGGGCGATGCTGCCSTGAGGTGCCCCTGGCGCTGCCTCTCCCCCAGTGGCTTGGAAGTGGCTTTAGGGCACAAGGATTTTTGCTAACACAGCTTGCTTGCTGGGAACACTTACACGKGGCTGTCCCTTCCCACAGACCCGCAGAGCCGGGTGAGGGACACAGGGGACACGAGCAGTGTGTGCTGCAGCCAGGCGGTGGCAGTGGTGGCCCTCCTGGCCCTGCACAAGAGCAGGCTGGTGGCCGTGCGCTCGGATGGCAGCGGGTGCGCGGCGCGGGGTCTGCACGGAGTGGGGTGCTCGGCATGGGCGCCCTTGCACCCTCTCCAGGGAGCAACCCTCGCCAGCCGAATAAAAGGGGAGAGGGCAAAGAAAAATCTGGCTTTTCTCCCGTAAAAACAAGTCAGCGCTGTGGGGGTGAAAGCCTTGAGCCTGCTCTGTAGTTAGAGCTTTGCTGCCCTTTCCCCCGGGCTGACTCCAACAYCCCCATGCTGGAAGCTGCCGAGCCGGGACACACGTGCTCATGGGGGCTATGGAATTCCTAACAGCGTGTTTGCAAGCCGTGCTGATCCTCCCCGTGGGAAGGGAAGGGTATCTTAACACTTGGTTTGGAAAGTGCTATATATTTTTATAGCAAAATCAGCCCCTGGCACGGTTTGCTAATCTCCAGCTGAGATACAACTAGTCTGACGGATGGAGCAGTTTACAGTTAATGCTCCTTTTTTTCTAACTGAGCTTATTTGTAGTCTCTGCACATCGAATCAGTCCCATAAAGAAGGTCGCCGGGTAGGATGGTGAGCRTGGTAGCAAGCAGGCTGCAGGAGGAGGAGGACTTCACGTAGCTGACGGCAACGGGTCGCACAGGTCGGTGCAGGACGCTGCTCCGAGCGCCTCTGAGGTCAGCTGGCATCTATGGGAGTTGGAGGAGTTCAGGATCTTCGGGTTTGTTCCCTTGGCCACCATGAAGGCAGTAAAGGTGTCTGGAGAGCAGTGTTTCTGTGCTGGCCCCAGGAGCGTTGGCAGTGCCCTCCTCGTGCCCGCTCACTGGTGTCGCGTTAGGTCRGCCGTGCTGAGCCCGTCCCAAGCRCTCGTAGCAGCCACGTGTGCCGGCCCTGCCCCGGGCACGAGCCCCACGGGTGCCGGATCCCCCTCCTGCTCCGGCCTGATGCTGCGGGTATGGGAGGAAGGTCCTCGGCGAGGCCGGCGCTGCCGGCGGGAGCTGCGGTGACGCCTCGGCCATCCCGTCGCGTGCGAGACAGCGTGTACCTGTTCCACGGGTACCTGCTCCCCGCCGGTGTCGCGTTTCCAGTGACCTTTCAAGCAGAGGGACAGGCGGGTGGTTCGCAGCTGCAGCCGCGGCTCCGGGAGCGCCCATCGGAGCGGCTCCGGGAGCGCCCGTCGGAGCAGCCCCGCGCGCGGAGCCGGCGCTCCCGGCTCCTCGGGCCACCAAGGAGACCCAGCCTGGCTCCATGTGAGGGACAAGAGAGGCTCCAAATGGGGAATGAAGCCTCCTTCCCCGCTGCTCTCCTCCTCCATGGCCGTGCATGGGCCCTGCTTGCCCGTTAGGATGCTCTTATTCATCCGCTCTTCTGTTTTCTTTCAGCAGTTTAGATCATCTGGGTGTGATAAGGGCTGCAGGAGTTGAGAACTCTTATCTGCTTCTATTGCCTTTGGTGTTTGTTTGTTTTTCTGGAAGCAGAAAAAGCCGTCAGACCTTTTCATTTTCTCGGTGTGCTTAGTCATAGCCTCGGAAACACAGGCTGTCATTCACAAAAGCTGACATATTAAGAAAATTCAAATTTCCTGTTTCGTCTTGTATGGAAAAATCCCTTTAATTTTCAGATTGGAAAATGTTGAAAAGACGCGTTCTCGCACCTCATTTGCTGTGCTGTGCCCTGGCCTGCGCCTGCACGTCCCTTCCCTTCGCGATCCTTTCCTCCCGATAGCAAAATTTCCCGTACTTTTCTCTTTGGAGCCTCCCGGGACAAGGCAGAGCTGTTTCGGTGCCTGCAGCACAAGACACAGCCGGGCCTTGGTGGCGGCTCCACAGGAGGGACGTTGGGGTCCTGGGGGCTGGTTCTGGGCTTGCACATTCCCGTATTTCGTTCTTGCATATCTCCCTGGCACAGCCAGGGCCTTCCCAGTGCTGTCCAGCCAGGAACACCTGTTCCCTAAGGGAACAGTTCCTTAAACCTGTGGTGAAGCTCTAGCTCACCAAGAGCACTGCGGGGTGTCCATTCTGCCGGGAAAAGCTGCCCGGTTGCCGCAGTCCTCCGGAGCTTCCTTGGGCACCGCCGTCCCTTCTGTCCCGCCGTGTCCCCGCACCACGAGGAGCCTCGCTCGGTGTCTCCCAAGCGCCTGGCATTGGATGCAGCGTGCTTTCTTCCTCGAAAGGGTGATGGTTAAGTGGTTTCCTCTTCCCTTTGAAATGAGTAAACTTCCAAACCACTAAGCTGGTGAGTATTGACTGACTCACCGATGGGATTAGCGGAGATCAGCTGCATTATGTCTGGTTTGCTTGGACACGAGCTTGTTGTGAGCTCTGGCGCGCGCTGCCGCTGGTGCGAGGTGAGAGCTGCCCCGGACGCGCCCTGCGGCGCCTTCCCCGCTCGTAGGGAGCGTGCGGGCGGTAGGAGCGGGCCAGACCCGCAGCGGCAGCCCCCGCGAGCCTTGCCTCGCTCAGGAGCGGGACAGCAGGGCCAGGGCGCCGCAGCGGGAGCCGCCTGCTCTGCGGGACGCCGGCTGGCCCCGTGGGCCGCTACCCTCCACATGGGGATCTGCTGCTTTTCCTGACTTCCTTGGGCTCTGCCGGGATGGGAAAAGCGGTGTCGGAAGGTCCTTGCTCGAGTCCCTTGCACAGGCRAGAAGCCACACATAGGGCTGCACAGAGAGTCCTGCCGAGCCCGTCCGGCCGTGCCATGGGCTGCTCTGGCCATCCCTGTGCTCCCCTTCCAGCACTGCCAATGCGCCTGGAAAGGCCTTGGAGGGAAACGGAAAAGCCAGAGCGAGCGGCCGAGGCGGAGGCCCCAGCCCAGCTGCTCTTGGGCCATCTGGCTGTGGCTGAAGCCGATGCCTGGGCCGGGTTGTGCGCGAGCAGCACGTCCCTCCCGCGCTGGGAATGCCGCTGRGGCCCGACACGGAGGCACCTGGGCTGCGGCTGGGCCGGGAGCGCGGCCGTCATCCCGCTGGGCTGTCCCGCTCCGGGGCCTCGTCCTCGCCGCTCCCGTTCTCCCTGACGCGCTGCCCTTTCTCTCCGCAGGCCGGGTGTGATCACGATGCAGGCGCTCTCCGAGGAGGACCGGCGCCTTTGGATGGAGGCGATGGACGGCCGGGAGCCGGTGAGCAGAGCGCGCGGCCGGCGGCGCGCAGGGCCCTCCCTGGCCCRGGGCGGCGCGCGGAGCCTGCCAGCCGCCCCGAGAACCCTATCCGTGGGGCAGCTCGCGGCGGCTGCCAAGCGAGCGTCTTAATCCCTTGGTTAAATATTTGAGGTAATACTGTATCTGCTGCGCCTGGATCGCTCCGAGGTGCGGAGGAAGGGGAGGCCGAGCCAGCACAAACACGCTGCTGCCTGCGCCGTGCTGCAGGGAAAACGCGGCCAAGGACGGGGCAGGACGGTGCGGGGCCGCTTCCTGGCGCTGGGAATCGCCGAGCAGGGGCCRGGATCGCCGAGTGGCGCGGATTTGGCATGACCGATGTGCGCCGCCCCCAGCTCGCTCGGCAGGAGCCGTGGCATTCCTGCGCTGCTCTGGCATTGCTGAAGCCACRCAGGCCATTCCAGGGCTTTCCCCATGTGTGTGCTCGGAGGAGCTCCGGCTATGCTCCCCTGTAGATGGGGAGTTAGTGGTGGAGGGTGAAGGCAGCGTCCAGCGTGCGGGCGCAGGGAGCGCACGGGTCCCGTCGCAGCGCTGCTCTGGGGCACTTGCTTCGCGTGGCCGTGGCTCCCCTCGCGTGGCCGTGGCTCCCCTCGCGTGGCCGTGGCTCCCCTCGCGCGGCCACCGCTCCCCTCGCGTGGCCGTGGCTCCCCTCGCGTGGCCGTGGCTCCCCTCGTGTGACCGCCGCTCCCCTCGCGCGGCCACCGCTCCACTCGTGTCACCGCGGCACTGTTCATGTGGCCGCGCTCCGGAGCAGGTGTCTGTGGACGCCACAAGGCCTCCCTGTGGGACTGTGGTTCCCAGTGCAGTGAAGCTGGACACAGCATCCGAAGGGCAGGATGGGTCCCTCGTGTCCCGCGTGGTCTGGAGGAGGCGGTGCCAGTGCCAGGACTGGGCTCTGCCGCTGACTCCGGAGCAGTTGGAGCTGGCTCACGGGAGAGCTGCGTTGGATGGTGTTTGGGCTGCAGGGGAGACGATAGAGCCCCTCCGGCCTTTCCTTTGTGACCGTGCTCACTGCTACCCACAGAATCCCGGAATGGCGGAGGTTGGAAGGGACTCTAGAGCTCATCCAGTCCAACCCCCTGCTCCAGCAGAGACACTCAGAGCACGGGGCACGGGGTGGCAGATGCTGCTCAGCCGGTGGTGGCGGCTCCGGTGCTGCCAGCGCGGCAGTGACCACYGAGCGCGTGGGTGCTGCGGCTGACAGCTTCTCCGGGCATGCGACAGAGCTGCCACGGGGCCGCGCACCACTAGAGGGCAAGCTGAGACCAGCCCGCTCGTGGCACTGGTGCCTCCAGCAGCACTGCCCCGGGGTGCTGGGACAGGCGTTATCCTGCACCAGGGCTTCGCTTCCCTTCCCTTGGGCATTTGCCTCGAGTGTAATTTGGGAACTGTGTAAAACCAGTAGCTCTGGAAGCAAATTCCCAGTCTCCAAAGTGAAACGGGCCCTAGGAAAAGCAAACACCGGCTCGAGTGCTTTCTCCAGGCTGGGACCTCTGGGAGCTCTGCTTGTTGGGGATTGTCTCGTCCCCCGTGTCCCTGATAACCACCCAGAACCAATTCCTGTCTGCCCTGGAGCCACGTCCCATGGCATTGTCAGGGATGTGTCCGGTGACGCTGTCCCGAGGTGGGCGCGGGGCCGCATCCGGCCTGCTCGCTCCTCGCCCGGGAACGCGCGGAGCAGAGCGAGCACGTTCCTGCAGCCGCCCCCGCCCCACGTATTGCTGCTGGGAACTCGCTCCAAAATTGTTTTTCATTTGCCTTGTCTAATTATACCAAATGGTGAGAGATTAATTTCCCAGTGGAAATGATGTCTTTTGAACTCGATCCAGTGCTTTCAGCCTTGACATTCTTGTCGTTTGGGCTCGTTCAAAGAATAAATTAACTTGAAGGGCTTCCATCAGGGCAGCTGCGAGGGGTAGGGGCGTCCCGGCCGGCCCGGCGGCGGCACCGGGGATGTTTTATCCTTTCAGTTTGGCCTCCTGCCTGCTCTGTGCTGGGGTGCTGTGTCTTGCACCTCCTGTCTGTGCCTTTACCTGCTGCGACGGTGGCATCCGGGCTGCACCAAGAAGTCTGCCTGGCTTGGGGTCCTCCTCCCTGGGGACAGGGTGATGAAGCAGGAGGGCTCTGGGGGTGATGGGTCACACACYGTGTGCCTGTTGCTTTGCTGTCGTGGCCTCCCGCCGCTGCTCCCACTTCCCCCTGCYTGCAGGCCCCTTTTTGCGAGTGCTGGGAACCGAAACCTGCCGGGATCGGCAAAACTTAAGGTGAAGTTTCTGCTTTTTCTCCGTCACTTGAGTGACCCAGCCACACGCGCTCCGCTGGCATTGCTCGCGAGGGCYGCTCTGCGGAGCCTCAAGCGTGCCAGTTATTCCAAAAATGCATTTTTCCGAAGCGGCCGCCCTTTAGCTGCGCTGTGCCGAGCCTGGCGCTGAGCGCTGCGCGCACGCTGCACTCGCCTTGCTGCTGGGAGCGCTGCGCCCGCCGGCATGCCCGCGCGCGGGGGCGACGCCGGGGCCGCCGCAGCGCCGGGCGGGCAGCTCCTGGTGGGCAGCACGTGGTGGGCAGCTCCTGGTGGGCAGCGCCGGGGTTACGTAACGGCGCTGAGCTCAGCGCTGCCCGCGCTGGCCGGCAGCCCGGGCGCCTGCGAGCACCGCGCGCTTGTGCCCAGGCCGAGCCGTGGCAGAGCTGACCATGCAAGGAGMCTTTTCCCTTCTTTTCTCTCTCCTCTTTATTTAATGGAGTGGGCTCTCAGCACCTGAGCCCTGCACCCCTGGCGGGAGCAGGGGAGAAGGAGGAGAGAGGGAGCGCAGGTCCCGGCCACCCGCAAAGCTCCATGCGGGAGCAGGGGCAGATGGGAGCCCTGGGCACGTGTGTCCCGGTGTGCCGGTCACCCCAGGACGGGGGTTCTCTGCCCGGAGCGGAGGTCGGAGAGGTCCTGGGTGTTCTCCAGGGCAGTGTGCGGGCTGGCACGTTGCAGAGGGACGAGGGGGACCCGGTGTCCGGCCGCAGGTTGGGGAGGCCGTCAGGTGCCTCTGTAGGCTGCTGGCACTCCGTAAACATGCCACCCCTGCCGCTAAAATAAGCGGGGAAATGTAATTTTATCACTTTCTGTTATTTCCTCTTGAATTGTGGTGAAATAATGGAGTGTTTGGCAGYGGAAACAAAGTAATGCGTTACTGCCTTTTAAACTGAAGACGTGCTAAATAATTCACTGAGGTTTTGCTGTCTTGAAATCCTTTCCGAGCTACCGTAATCGGCAAGCAAGACTCTCTGTCACTCATAGTTTCTTCACTGCAGGACGTCAGAGGTGATTTTTGTGTGCTACCGAAGCACCAAGTGAGCCGGGGACATTGTCTTTATGGTGCCCTCTGAGCACCCACACGTGCAGTAACATCCCTGGAGCAAGTTTCTCCTCCTGGCTTTCAGGACAACCCGCACAAGCCTTTTCCCTGTGGAGGCTCCCAACTCTTGGCACAATATTGGCATCAAAGCCCCCAGGATGTACCTTGCTCTCCCAGCACTTTGCCCTAGGTCTGGTCCTAGCAAARCCGCACGGCTGCAGCCTGGTGCCTGCGCCGCCTTCCCCGCCGATTCCGCTTTGTTTTGGGCAGTGGTGAGCGGCAGGGCGGGAAGCGCAGCCGCTGCCCCTGCCCTGGCACCTGCCCTGCGCTGGCACGCTGGCCGCGCCRCCGCTCGCAAGGGCAGCTAATGGTTTCTATTTATACACTTCTGGCTTGTTCATCTTCTGAGCTGAAAGTTGAAAAACTCGTTTGTGGCTGTTTTGAGGATTTCTGAATATGAATCACAAGGAAATTGCATAATATTGTAGCATTTCCCTGCTTGCCACTCTGAGAGCCGCTGCTCCCGCTGGGCAGCTGAAGAGGCTTCGCTCAGAACTTAGTCTGGGCTCAAGGGTAAGTCCCAGCACTGGAAGAGGAGGCCAGGACGAGTCCTCCTGGCCAAGACAGGGACCAGGAGGCAGCGATGGGGTTTTCCTCCTCAAACGGAGAGCCCTCATTTGCAACTGCAAACCAGGCTGCCAACGCTCTTAATGGTCACAGCTTTCTGCAAATYACTGCTACCCCCTGCCCAAAGCAGCCCTGTGCTCTAGTCCCTGGCCCCGTGGGCAGGACCTGGTGCCAGGATCTGATGGGACACACCTGGGGAGCCGTGCTGCACACTGTCACCTCCAAGGTGACAGCTCCTTTTGTGCCATTTTGCATCTCCTTTGCCAAGCCATGTTGCACATCAAATGTTTTGTAGTGGTTGCGTGCCCCTGTGCTGCTGCTGTGTGGAGGGAGCTGGTTAATAGACAGCATGGCCAACTGGTATGAACCCCGAGACGAGGAAGTTAACCTAAAATTTCTCACTGTCTTCTTTTGCTAGTCCCCGCCTAAGCCCCCGCTGCTTCCTCCTTTCTGTTACCCCCAACTTCCCCGTTGATGCGGAGCAGCCGCGGGGCTTGGCGCCCTGCTCCTCGTGCCCCGTGCCCTGGAGCGGCACCGCACGGCGTGAGCGGCGGCTTGGTGGTTGGCTCGGGTTTGCCAGCCGCGCTTCTCACCCGAGCATCGACACGTGGTAGCTGCAGCAGTGCGGTCYGAGCGGGCAGTGCGTGCTGCAGCCTGCTTTGCTCTGCCCGCTCTGCAGCGGGAGCTGCAAATATCGGGAAGGGCAGGGGCAGCGGTGGGAAGGGACCCYGCGGCTGCAGCGGGGCGGCTCCGCTTGCCCAGGTTGGGCAGCGCTCCTGTCACGTCTGTACGAGCTGTGCATGAAACTGCATCCCTGTAAAACCTAGTGCAGCTTCAGGGAAGGATTTTATCCGAAGAGTTGGTTTTTTTCTTCTTTGTCAAGTTGTTTTAAATAAAGAGGCAATAATTGAACACAGTGCGAGTGTTCTCCAGAGGTGTTTTAATTTAACTGTGCAGGAAATCTTCAAAATAATCATAAATCTGGAATTTCTGCGATGCTGTTTACTTAAACTCCTGATTTACTTGCAGATGAATCTCAGGCTTTTTTTTTAAAAACAGGCTTCACAAAAGCCTTGGTTCATGCTCCAAATGGAAACGATGCTGTGGAAGTGGAGCAAGAGCTTCCACTGAACCAGGTATTTTGTCTGGGGCTTTTGGCCATCTCTAGTATGAGCTTTTAGGACATGAAGGCATCAAGGTCTGCAAGTTTTGCTTTCAGGTTGTGTATTTGCTTTTGGCTTATGTATTTTTCTCTGTTGACTTGTGCAGCTTCCTAGAGAAGCTGCCTTGGCCGTGCCGGTGCATTGCGCGGGGCTCTCCCAGCCGCCACATTCCCTAGCCCTTTCCACGGAATAACGCTGGAAAGCGAGAGGAGCTCTGTGTTTGGTGAGAAGATGAGAAGCCTTTTGGATTGAGATGTGTTTCCTCCAGAGTGTTTTAACAACAGACAAATGGTTCGTATGCTTATGCGCAAGCAAACACACATATCTAATAACCACACTCCCTTTTTTGTCATGCTAACATATGGCTCCGTTCAGTTCCAGCTTTTCTTTGAGATGATAGCAAAATTGAAGATCTCCCCCAAGTAASTTAGATTTTTTTTGACGTTGGCTTATTTAAAATGTAGCCAGCACTATCAAATCTTTTCACATTCAGAAACCCCATTAGTTGTTGTTTTGCTTAATGAATTGTGTAAAATGGGTGGTGGGGTTTGTGCACTGCTCTGCTGCTCACCCTGAGCAGTTTGCTGCTGTAGTTTGCTTGTTTTAGCTAGAACTGCTTGCAGGCCCGCCTGGCGATGCAAAGATTAGGTCCTCCTTTTTGTTGTTATTTTGTGGGGACACAAATCCCAACACGCAGACTCTGGCACACACAGGGCTGGGAGGCTTCTCTGACCCTTTGCAAGGCCTGGGCCATTGCAAGAAAAGGGCCTGCTTTTAAAAGTAGCCTTTTTCTTGGAAAATGGAAGGATGTCGCAGAAGTGGGACTTGGTTAAAACCTTGATGTTGGGAGTGGTGTTAATGGATTAACACTCTGGCGGGGGATGAAAGGTTTATCCTTAATAAGATGGATGTAGGATGACAGAATCTCCTTGTTTTATAGCAGACCTCGTCGTGAAATCTCCTCTGGCCTGTGGCTGCAGACTTGCAGTTCATGGCATAAAGACACGGTGCTCCTTGCTCCGATGATTAACAGCCCCATTATAGGTTCAATTAGGCAAATGGGAAGAGCGGCTGTGCCGGCAGGCAGGTTTCCTTCCGCAGGCACCCCGCTTGCTCCGAAGCCAGGGGCCAGCTCCTTTCGGTTGGGGACAGCAGGGGACAGCAGACAAGGCCCCGGAGCTCCCGGAGCCCTGTCCCACCTCRGGGGTGCACACCATCGCCTTAAATACGCAGCCTGTTCACTTAGATATTGAGTCTTGTGGCCCGTGAGCCGCAGTGGAGCATCCCGCTCGGGAGCGAGGAGTCACCGCCAGCCATTCCCTGTGTTCCCTGTCCCCTCCAGCAAGTCCCAGAGGGCGGGAGCTGCCACTGGGACAAAAGTGTCTTGGGACAAAGCAGGTTTTTGGCCAYAACCAGTGCAAAGAAGCCTCTGGTTAGTTTTCTTGCCTGTTTTCCCTTGTTTTGTTTTTGGGGTATAAATGCTGTTCCTGTGGGTAAAGGCGCTCGCTGCCTGCAGCCGTTGCAGTGCTGAATCCTGCCYTGGTTCTGGCCGTGGGTGTCTTTCCTTGCCCCTGCGTCGTGTTGGGATGCCTTCGGTGGGGAGGGGACAGCTGGCCGTCGGTGCTGGCGTCCCGGCTTGTCCCGGCATGCGCAGCCCCTCGTGAGCCGCCGGCCCGGGCTGAGCRCGCAGGCGGGCGCTTCACGAGACCTTCTCCTTGTGTTTTCCAGGTCTACAACTCGAACAAGGACAACCAAAGTGAAGGCAGTGAGTATCTGTTTCCATGCAGACCGTATCCCGCGGGAGCGCGGCCGCGTTGGGCCATGTGSACTGGACAGCTGTGGCCGGGCTCTCCCAAGCACGGGGAGCCTGTGGGAAGGGCCGGGAGCACACGAGGAAAGTCACTTGCACAGCGCTCCTGCTGCGCAGCCTGGGAACAGCGTGTTCCCGTGCTGCTCCTGCACGGGACATGCGCTGGTGCTCGGTCAGAGCGCGCTGCAGCCAGCTGCACCCGTGCTGCTCCTGCACGGAGCATGCATTGGTGCTCGGTCAGAGCGCGCTGCAGCCAGCTGCACCCGTGCTGCTCCTGCACGGAGCATGCATTGGTGCTCGGTCAGAGCGCGCTGCAGCCAGCTGCACCCGTGCTGCTCCTGCACGGAGCATGCATTGGTGCTCGGTCAGAGCGCGTCGCAGCCAGCTGCACCCGTGCTGCTCCTGCACGGAGCATGCATTGGTGCTCGGTCAGAGCGCACTGCAGCCAGCTGCGAGCTGCACGGGAGGCTGGTTCTGCACCTGGCTTTCTGCCACACCGGCTTTGATACGGAAGCTTCCTATAAGGACTCACAATCCTGCACGGAGCATGCATTGGTGCTCGGTCAGAGCGCACTGCAGCCAGCTGCGAGCTGCACGGGAGGCTGGTTCTGCACCTGGCTTTCTGCCACACCGGCTTTGATACGGAAGCTTCCTATAAGGACTCACAATGAGCGTAATTGAGATGAGTCTGGATGCAGTCCCTGACCCTGGAAACCTATAGAACTCTGCTTCCTGCTCTTACTTCTATTAGTCAGCAAGAGACTCCAAGGGCTGGAGCAAGGCCGGCTTTTTGGTCTCTATCTAATTTTACAGAGCTTTTGGATTTTGCATCCTGCTGTGCAGCCAGATGGCCACCAGCCTGCAAGGTGGTTTATCTTAATCTTCTTTGGGAGTGGGGAGGAAGGGTTGCAGAGTGGTGGCACTGTGGGCAAACGGCTGGCACTTAATGAGTTCGATGCACGAGTGAGCACCCCGAGGGCATTGCCCTGCTCTGATAATGACTCCTGTGGGCCACTTGTGCACGTTGCGTGGACAAGCACAGATGAACTCCATTCTCCTTCTCCTCACCATGTTTCCATCTCCATACCCACTTGATCTCCCCTTTACTACAGGATCCCATGGAAAACTGTCTTTATTTTTATAAACTCTTCATGGACCTTGAGTTTCTTGTCTCCCTGCTCTGTGTCTCACTTGGTGGCCAAGATCCTTGCCCAGGGCTCTTAACTCCCAGCATCTTGTCAACTCACTGGTAGTCCAAGACTTGCAATAAGATTAAACTCCTCATTTCTCCACTTCTCTTTTTGGCTATTAATAGCACAATACCCTTTGTGGTAGTTCACAGCAATCATGGCTTTTCGTTCTGCTGCACGAAGATGGATAAGGGAGCATGCACAGAGCCAGATTTGACCTTGCCGTGACCAATGCTCGCACATCTGGAGCTGGCAAGGTTGCCCGAGGCCGAGCAGAGCTGATTCGGTCGCCTCTCCTCCTTACCCACACTCTGCCATGCCATATCAGCATAAAGCAAAGGATTTAATGGATTAAACAGAAATAATCTACCAGGCAAAAGTAGAATACAATGAGGCCAGCTCAGTAGCCCTAGAAATACTGTGCTTGCACGAGGGGCTGCCAAGCACGTGTGTGCACGACCTGGCCGCAGGACAGGCACCATGCGGCACCTTTGCACCGCTGGCGCCTTCCTCTGCTCGGGTGCCAGCCTCGSTCCCTTTGGGGCTGCTCTTGCCTTGCCCGTCACTGTGACCCTGGGCGTTAACACGGGCACTGCCTGGGGACCACCCTAGTGCAGGGCCAGGCTCGTTGTGCTGCGTGGGSCAAGCGGGGGATCAGGGCAGGTCCAGATCGGCTTGGCCTGTGCTGTGGCTGCGCTGAGGTGCTGGGTAAATGAACAGGATGGAAGCTGCTGGGGTGAGCGGGGAAATCAAGCTTTTATGTTGCTCATTAAAAGTTAAATTTAAGGATGAATAAAGGCAGTTTGGATATTTGATCAGATATTATTTCTGGATATAATTAGTGCAAATRAATCCCCAACCTTTCCTGATCTAGAGCTCAGCAATGAGTTGAAGGGCTTATTCATCTGCTTGGGAGGATTATGCTCAGTCCTTTCCATCTGGAGAGGCCGCTCCTGTTTCTCCCTGGCTGTGGCATCCAAAGCCTTGGCCGGAGCTGCGGTTCAGCACTCGGCAGCCGGAGCAGCCAGTGGCAAAGGACGCCCATGTGTGAGCGGCACCTCCTCAAACTCAAGCATGCTTGAAATGGAAGGAAAGGGGTGAAACCTGTAGCTAGCAGAAATAATTGGCACTTAAAAGTGCCCAGTGAAGAGCCCGGGATAACGCTGTGTAGGTCCAGGTGATGTTGTACCAGGATACCAAGAGGTCAGGTTAGGGCTAGCACGGAGCAGAGCTGGAGTGAGCTCTGGTCTCAGTTAGTCGAACCGCAGCCCACTCTCCAGCAGCAGCGCTGCTGTGGCTACAGGGTGCAGATCTGAGAGAGCTGAGCTGGTTTATCTGGTGTTCAGAGCAAGCAGGCTGCTTGTGCAGTGCTCAAGGATTTGCACGGCCAGCCATGTAGGTGAGTCTCCTTTCTCCAAACAGCCCAGGATCCGCTGCCCAGCACAGTGTTCTCCGGGTTGTCCCACCTCCATCCAAAATTAAGATATTGACCAACTGTGGGCTTGAATCTGCAGATGGCCGGGAGGCCTCTGGCCGTCGGTCCTGCTGCCCAGCCCTGTGCGAAGGAGCATGTGGCACGGTTCTGCCGCCGGCACCCGCTTGGGCTCCTGCTCCCAGCCCTGTGCATCGCTTGGTGCACACCGTGGCAYGGATCAGCGTGCTGCAGTTCAGCGTGGTGCAGCTCAGCACATGGCAGCTCAGCACCTGGCAGCCTAGCACGCTGCAGCTCGGCACACACTGCAGCTCGGCACGCGCTGTGGCTCCGTGTACACGCGATGCCCGCGGGTTGAGCGCTCACCCTTCTCACCACTCTCGCTCTTCCCTCGCAGCRGCCCAGCTGGATAACATCGGCTTCAGCATCATCAGGAAATGCATCCACGCTGTGGAAACCAGAGGTAGGGCCCTGCGCCTGGTGGTGCTGCCTGGGGGAGGCGTCGCGGCGCGCAGCGAGGGCGGCYGGTGCCTTTGGCCGGCGCGCGGCGTTCACCCGGAGAGCCGGCGCCCAGGCTGCGACGGCCCTGGCTGCACAACCCGGGCTCTAGCGGTCCTACAAACACCAGGAACAGCTGAATCCGGAAATGGTGCGCTGGGGTTCGGCAGGCAGCGAGGAAGGAGGCTGTGTGCTCTGTGTGAGCGTGTCCTGGTGCGAGGTCTGTGCAGAGCTCTTCCTCTCTGGTGGGATGATAAGCACTGCAGCATGTGTCCGTGCTGCCCCGAGCTGCTTGCCAAGACAATGGGTATAATGCATATACAGATGGGCTGTGGGAGCTGTTACCTGCGCTTATACAAAGGGATAAAAGACAGGCCCTGCAGGCAGCTTTCAGTTGAGCAAGGTCTGACTTGCCCGCRTTGCTGCCAGCGATCTTCTGCTGGCAGCTTCTTCCTGCCCACAGATGCCGTAGGATGCTGGGGGCTGTCTAGCATGGGGTGCTCTGCGGGGAACTTGCGGCACTGCGGGAGTCGCTGTCGGAGCCAGGGAGCCACGGTGACTATGGGCTTCTGCTGYCTCCCACATGAGAGTGTTTGGAGATTTTCATGCTGCTCACAGCTTCCTGCAACATCCAGGTCATGGTTTAAAAGCCATATGGGAACAAAGCAATAAATGCAAAAAGCAAAGCGGTAGATGAGACCAGCAAGCAAACAAGGCAAATACAATTATTAGGGAAAATGGAATGAGCTGGAGCTGCCGCGTTCGGCATTCCTAACTCAGAGGTGCTCTGGGGGACAGAAGGCTTCTGTCACCAGTTAAGTCCTCTGGCTGTCGTTGGCTGTAGCAAAGAGGTCTAGACTTTGTGTCGTTTGCAGCRTTACAAGAATAATAATATTTTGTTCAAGGCCTTGTTGTTCTAGGCCCTCCTGGAGAACTCRGGGAGGCTCAGACCTCAACATGGGCTGTTTTCCAAAGCTGCCCTTGGTGCTCAGTGCAGCCGTGCTCCCTCGCTCGTGGGTGGCGTGGCAAGAACATGTCCTGGTGCCTTTGATTCCTGAGCTAAATGAGGGCAACACTGTTAAGGAATACGTGAGAGCTCTGACATCAAAACCTAATTTTACCCTCTTCTGTTATAGCTAGGATGAGAGTTTGTACATAGTTGGTGAGAGACTTGAGTTATTGCTGCTTTTAGGGAGGCCAGTGAACTGAAAGCAGTGTTAGTAGGGCCTCCAACACGCTGCTAATGAACTCCTTGTTTCTCCCAGGGATCAATGAGCAGGGACTCTACCGGATCGTCGGAGTGAACTCTCGGGTGCAGAAGCTGTTGAGCATCCTCATGGGTACGTGTCTCATGTCACGCTAAAGGCAAGTAGAAGGTGCAGCTTTGAAGCCTTGCGAGGAGGGGACGGAGGCTCTTGTCCCAGTGCCTCATGGTGGCCAAGGTGCTCTAAGGACCCCGGGCTGCTGGAGGTACTGCTGGCTGGGGACAGGTAGGAGCCTTGCCGGAGCTGTCCTGGTGTCCTGCTCACACGTGCAGAAGTCTGGGCAGCCTTCCTGAATGAAAACTATAAAGTCTTCAAAGAAGTAATTGCTCAAAGCTTTGGCTTTTCATCTCACCCCTGCCGCATAGCTCCCAGAATATTTCTGAWTATTTTTTCCTAGTTGCACACTGCCAGTGGCTCTAGTTTCCCCCTTGGATGTTCTCCTGCCTGTTCAGCACAGTCTTGCTCAGGCCCTTCAAGTGCGCGGTCTCCTCGTGCTGGGACCCCGGTAGCAGATCCCGTGGTCCTGGGTGCTGGGGAGAAGGGGCGGCACTGGGTCACCCCACTGCAGAGCTGGGCTCTGAGCAAGGTGCCAGCAGCCTCCTCGCTCTGCCAGCTCTGCACTAGTGAGGAAACAAGCGCTTAGCTGCTTGTTCACACCTCTGAGCGGGTGTTGCTCCCTGGGACRAGCGAGGCACATCTGTGGTGTTCCCTTCCTTTCCTTTCCCTTCCCTTCCCTTTCCTCTCTTTTCCATTTGCTTATTAGCATCCCTTCCCTATCCAGCTACCCTTTCCATGTACCCCAAGGTACTGGGGCTCCTTTCTCCTTGCAGCAGGTTTCAATCCACCACATTTCACTCCCAGTCTCCTTGCCTCTCCTCTTCCACCGCCTCCTTCTCTTCCTGCTGCCAAAACGCTCCCTGAGCAAGGCCCTGGTGGCTCTTACGCTGTCAGCATTAACCTATGTAAAATTGATAATCCAGAGAGACTACTCGGAAGCAGAAGGGTAATACTCTAAATCACTGTTTCAGACTCCCGGCTGACGCAAGGGGACATCTCTGCATCACTTATGTGCTGGCATTTGGAAAGTTCTCTGCAGTCACAAGAGCCAGTGACTGACTTTCTTTTATTAATAAGAGTTTGGCATGGGCCCTGGAGCATGTGAGCGTGTCCTGCTGGCCACTGAGAACAGCAGAGAGGCCAGCCCAGCCTCATGGTGCGCACATTTGGCACGGCAGCATGTGAGCACCACTTAAAGAGCATTGCTGACAGAAATAGCCYGGGGCTGGGGCACCTCGCGCCGCGCAGCGCCCGTGCACCGGCATGCATGGGGCACGAGCTGGGGCTGTCCCCGCTTTTGGACACCGTCCAGAGCCCCTTATCTCCTCCGTGACCGGAGCTGACTCGGCTGTCTTGTAACGTGGTGGCTTCTCGTGGCGCTGGCAGCTCTTTGCTAGCGGAGGGTGCTGCGCCGCGGGCTGGCACGTCCCGTCCCGCTGCAGCCACAGCCGCGTCCCCACGCTCTGCATCGCCGGGGCTCTGCAACCCCGTGTCTGCAGATCTTCCTCCTGATCCCCGGTGATTAAATCATCTCGCTCAGCCCTAGCGCTGTGGCTGTCTGTGAGGAGCAGGGAGCTGCGCTGACACCCTCGGGCCCTCCTGGAGCATCTGGGGGCCCTGGGGAGCAGAAGCACCGTCTACTTCCACACTCCCTGCTCGCAGCAAAAGCCCGTGAATGGAGGCGACACATTTTGCTTACAACTTCAGGTTTCCCTTATATTTAGAAATGAATGTGGGCAGCGCTAGCGATTCGCATACAGTCTAAATGGCAGAAAGCTCAGGTTGCAGCGAGCGGGCCTGCTGTAAGTGACACTGTCGCGAAGGCCTTGGGCATGACGCGCGGCCGGCCCCGGCGCACCCCGCACCGGCCGCTCCTGCGCGACTCGCGTTTCCTATGGGAGAAGTGGACAGGAGCTTGGCAGGGGAGGGAATTCCCGCAGGAACCAGGAGGAATTCCTGCAGGAACTGCGAGGAATTCCCTCAAGGGCCAAGAGCCTGACCGGCCAAATGGCCTTTTCCCCCCAGACGTCCATGCTGCCCCTCCAGAAGACAGCAAACCAGCGTAGCAAATTCCTTSATTTTTTCCCTTACGTGGGGACACTGCTCCATGTTTACACCAGCTCATATGAGAATTTGTCCTTGTGCGAAGATGACGGCAGCGCGGGCAGCCTTCCCGAGCCGGCAGGACGCGCGCGGCCTCCGGCACCCCCAGGCCGGCCACTTGCGGGCTCGTAAATCTGGAGGCGCTCCCATCCGCGCCGAGCCCGGCCCGAGCGCCGGCAGCGGGACAGGGTGGCTCCTCCCGCTCCTGGCAGCGCCTTGGGAATGACGTCCAGGCTGGAGCTGTTTGCCCAGCTTCCCTGAAGGCCCTGCTGCTAAAAACCTTGCATATGTATGTATATCTATGTACATATGTATGTATTTTTTCACTATGCCAGATTTGTCTCCAGCCGGTTAGCGGCACAGTGGGAGGTTGCCCTGGCATTGAGGGAGGACGCTGTTCGTTTGTGTGATTAACACAAGAGACACATGTGAACTCGGTGTGAATATATGGGTTTTTAAATGTTTACTTTTTCAAGGGCTTCTCTTGATGTCTTTCTTTTTTTAATTAAAAGAGCCCCTTTGGCCTCAGGGAGATCCTAACTCTTATTCAGTACATCCTTTTAATTAGGTCTAAAGTTGAGCTGTGTTTACCTTTTGCTTTCAAATTCGGGAGTGTGTTCCCGTGTGGGTGACAAGAACYCCCCACAGAAGCAAGCACCCAAGGCGCTGCCGGAGCAGGGTGTCTGCGGGATCTGCTCTCAGGAGCTTTCTAGGTGCATGCAAGGGGATCCATGTGTCCCAGCCCTTGTTCCAGATGCAGCCTGATAGCAGCAGTGTCCCAGGGATTCCCTCGTGGTCAGAAGGCTCTGGAATCACTAACAAACTGGGGCATGGAGAGACCTGCTGGGGTCCTGCCGCACTGCCAGGGTAGGTGCCGGGTTTCCGCAGCTTTGGCCCACTCTCTTCTTTTTCTTTTCCATAGATCCCAAGGCAGCCACCGAAATGGAGACGGAGATCTGTGCGGAATGGGAAATAAAGACCATAACCAGTGCACTGAAAACCTACCTGAGGTGAGGGACGGCTCTCAGCGGGCGCTGCAGATCCAGGGGCCRGGCTGGCCTTGCATGGAGCCTCCTGCCCTTTTCCTTCCCTCTGGTATAGCCGAGCAGGAGATAGGGAACACACTGAGCTCTATACTGTTGCATATGTGGTACAGCTGTGGTTTTAAAGCTGCTCCTGTGAAGCACGGGGTGCAGGAGTGCTCCAGTGCAGGCTGTGCCTTGGTGCTGTCCTCGTGCAGGGCTGGCGCTGGGCTGAGCTTTACTGCAGCAGGAACTGCTGCGTGGAGCTTGGTGCTGTTATCATCTCGGGTTATCTTCCAAAAACGCTCATTTGTTGGCAGCCGTCAGCACTTCGTTATCCCCAACGTGCTTCTACCTGCTGTGGCTGCAGCTTTTGCTTTCGGCTGCTGTTCTGGGTGTTTTGTTTTGGTTTTTCAAGAGAGAGCAAGAGAGAAGCTAAATCCAATTAGGGTGATGAGTATAATTAGCGTCATGGATCTCAGCCTAGAAAATCACAAAACACTACATAATTTTGCYTGATTGGCAACCTTTGCTCCAGAGYCTGAGCTGCTTGCAAGGCGATGGGGGAAGTCAGCAGCTGGGGAAGAGCCCTCACYGGGTAAAGTGGTGAAGAAGGAGGAGAAGGGGCAGATTCGGGGGCACAGGGATGAGGAGGGCAGAGCTGCTGCGTGTGCAGGTGCAGGGCAAGCTTGCAGAGGCTCTTCCAGGCTCCAGAACTTCGTCAGTGTTAACATGAAACAGCCTTCTTTTGCTCCCTTTTATATCAGTTTAAGTTTACTAAGATGTCACGTTGAAGGGATCTGGAAGCAGGAAGGAGAGGGGGAATTTAATGGAAGCAGCAATTGCTGAAGTTTTATGACTAGATTTGTTTCTTTTTTAAATTTATTTTTAAACTCATTTGAGAATCATGAGCTTGCACAGTGGTTCTGAAGGAATGCTGAAATTCAAGATGGATTGCGTGTAGACCAGAAATGGAAGGAAGGATAAATCGAAGCTCCCTCAGTATATCTTATTCCTTCTGATGAGAGGAATTAATTAGCAGAGTTGCTGTTGCTTAGTTCTGCACTTTTAAAAAGTGAGCTGAATTATGGTAATGGCAAAGTTATGTTTCTGCGATCTTGTGGATTCTTCTGCTCAAATGTATCTTATTCATGTCACATTTCTTTTTTTTCATCCCAGGATGCTCCCAGGGCCGCTCATGATGTACCAGTTTCAAAGGAGCTTCATCAAAGCAGCGAGTGGGTTTTGTGATGCTTGTGGTGTCTGTAGGAAGTTTGCACATAGCTGTRCACAGCCTCTCCTCTCCACCTTCCCCACCGGCCTCCCGTTCGCAGAGCCGGGAAGGCAGAACGAGACCGAGGGACTGCGGTTATTTGGGATGTCCTGGGTAGAAATGTCGGTCCCGCAAGGGCAGGGGAGGAACGAGTGACGGCAGTAGCTGGTGGTTGTTTTTTAACCGTCATCTCCGTGGAGGAGGGAGGGTTTGTTCARAGAAAGCTTTTGGATGCGATCCGTGTGTGACCTCCGCGGCTGTGATCCRTGTGCTGATCCCTGCCTGGGCGCTGGGCTGGGAGCGGGTGCTGTGATGCCCACCTGGAAAGKCTGGGAAGCAGCCAGGGTACAAGCAGCCCGTTCTCTGATCGCCGTGGGCTCTGCATGCGCCTGGGCTCTGTTTTCAGCTGTGGTCCAGCCTGTCACTTGGGTCCTTTGTAAAACAACTGATGGGAATTGGTAAAAGGAAAAAGTGCCCTCAGCAACATCCCCCTGAAGCGGGGAGTCTTGGGTCCCCACGTGTCTGTCTGTGTTACTGTCTGGGCTTGCATGTTTTTTTTCTATAATAAAAACACTCTAGCAGAGATAAATGACCCTTGATTTCCAATGCAGAACTGGAGAACCAGGAGTCCAGGGTGTCCGAGATCCACAGCCTGGTGCATCGGCTCCCCGAGAAGAACAGGCAGATGCTGCACTTGCTCATGAACCACTTGGCAAAGTATGTACATGACTGATGTGTTTTTCTCTCCTTTTTCCACTTCCTCTGAAAGTCAACAGTGGCAGCAAAGTTTCCTTGTTTGTGTGCGTGGTGTTGACTCATATCTGCTTGACTGCAAACCCCGGTGTGAGCGCAATGGAAGTCGGTGCCAGAGGAGATGCGGGAGGAAGGGAGCGCGGCTCGCAGGGCAGCACAGGGGTTTTAATGWCCCTGTCGGTGCTGCGGGCGCTTGGAGCATCCCCGGCCTCCTGCCCAAGGACTGCTCTGGGGCACCGCAGCGCAGCCCTGCGCCCCGAGTAATCAGCACTTGCAGGTCACCTTGAAGCTTCTGGAGGGCAGAGGAGCCAAATGAATCCTTTGCCTTCAATGAAGAGCTGACCTGTAATTTCCCATCTCYTTCCTGCTCTCACCGGTTGCCATGGAAGCCTTTGATTAGTGTTTAAAAGTGAATGTGTTGCCAGGTGCAGCTGGCGGCCTCGAAGCTGGAGGCCCTCCCTGCCCCAGTGCTCTGTGTCCCTGTCCCTCCCTGCCCCTCGCTGCCCYGCTCCCTTTGGAGAGGCCTTGGCACCTGTACGAGGGTTAATGAGCACAGGAAAATCAGCAGAGAAATTCAGCAGAGTCCTGGGGAAATGCTGGGTTGTCTGTAGGAGAGAAAAAATCAGTGATACTTGAGTTATGTTTGAAGACGACTCCAGATGCTTCCTTCTGACATAGGTTTGGGTCTGTTCCCTTGAATCTGCAGCAAGGCTGTTAGAAAGTGAGGGGGTGGTTGGGCTCCGAGTGGCAAAAGCTGCTGTGCTGACTGGCTGCGGTGGGATTCAGCCGTGCCGGGCGGGAAGGGAGCGCAGCAGAGCGGAGCGGCCGCCGCACAGCGCCGTGCTGGCCGCACGGGGAAGGACAACAGCTCCAAGCTGTTATTTAACGGGAAAAATACTGTCCTGGAAGAAGGCAGGAAGCCGCRCAAGTGGGAGCACTGCTGCTCTGTGGGATCCAGTGGGCAGGGAGGGYTGGGACAGTATTCCCAGGCTGCGGCCCATCCTGGCTGCTGTGACGGGCCCGCGTGCGCTCTGGCCTGGGGACAGCAGGGTATCACCCTGCCGATGCGTTTGGATTTGGTGTTCTTTTCCCCAGCGATGTGTGAATAGTTGAGAGTGGCATTTGTATGAGATGAGGCAAAGAAACGCTGCTCCGAGCGCTGCTGCGGGACTCGGAGTGCGGGCGCGGAGCCACTGGCTCTGGCTCCAGCAGCAGCCGGGGGGCGGGCGCGGGAGGTGCCCCCGGGGACGTGTTTGCGCCGCCGCCGTGGCGTGGGACGGGTTTGCCCGGCTGTGGCTGTGCCGGCGCGTGCCGGTGGGGCAGCGGGAGGCCGCGGAGCTGCGCGGCGCCCTGTTCCCYGGCGCCCTGTTCCCCGGCTCCTGGCCGAGCAGCGGGAGCAGAGCGCTCACCGTCACCGCGCTCCGGCCGTGCCGACCGTGTCCCCGCGAGTCGCCTGGCAGCACCCGCTGCCGCCGGCTCCTGGGCTGCTTTGCCAAGCACAGCGCCTTTTGGCCCTGCACCCATCTCTGGGCAGGGCTGCGCTCGCTTTTCGGATGTTTTTATCAGCAGAAGGTGCCAGCACTGATGAAATGGGGAGCRCGGCGCTGCCAAGCAGGGGAACAGGTTGAGCGCTGCACGCGGCCCCGCGCGGCGCGGACGGACGGACTGCACGGACGGATGGACGGGCAGGCCCGGGGCTGGCGGCAGGGCGGCAAATTGCCACTTTTGTTAGTGGCTCTGTTAGTGGCATGTCATCCCTGTCTTTTTCTTCTCCTGTGTGGTTGCTGCATAAAGCAGGCTCAGTGTGAAACCCAGTGAAACCATGTGGATATTTTAACCAGCAGCTCTGGGTATTTCTGTCTTCCATTTCTTCCCACTTAAGCAGAATTTCCAAGATTAGTGTTTCGGKGGAAGAAGCCGACCACGTATTTGTGATGTGAACGTGCTCCGAAACACCTCTCTGTTGTGGAAGCAGAAGGCAGGGGAGCTGCTGGCCCTCCCCACGGTGGCCCTGGTGCTGCCTCCTGTGTGGCTGCTCCTGCCCCGCGAGCTGTGGCCTCCATGCATGGCCATGGCCTCCATCCATAGCCGTGGCCTCCATGTGTGGCCGTTCGCTCTCCCGGTGTTCCCGACGGCCGTGGAAGCGGCTGCCATGGCGACGGGATGCGGCTGTGATCCCACTGGAGGCATCGCAGCCCCCTGGGTGCCGCACGCCCTTCCTGGGGAAAATCAGCATGAGAGAGGAGAGACCGAGTTGACTGCGGGCAGTGGATTGCTCTGTTAGCACTGAGCTTATCCAGGCCAAGCCGGGATTGAGACGAGGAGCAGAGGGGCACCAGGCCCTCACTTGCACTCGATCGGTGCAAGGCTGAGGTGAATCCACAGGCACGCGTTAGGGACTGGGCACATGCCGTGTGCTTTTGGTCTTTAATTTGCACCAGAGCCAAAAGCAGGGGCGTAATTTGTAGGATCCCCCCTGCAGCAGCCTGTAGTTCGAGGATGGCAGTCGCGCTGCTGTCGCTAACGGCAGCGAGCTCCGCTGGGCACCTATTTCACCTGTAGATGCGCAGGATGGTTGCAGCAGCGCGTGCAGACCTGGCCCAGGACTCCTGACGAGGGACTGTTCTCCGGGATGGGATTCGGCTCTCGGTGCTGGGCGGGCTGTGGGCCCCGGTGCCCCTCGGCAGCGTCCCGTGCAGGGAGCCGCGCGGCACAGCGGCCGCGTTGCCACCAAACCCGCGGGCCGCGCAGCAGGAGCGCAGGGGAGGGGAACGCAGCCCTGCGCCGAGGCCTGGCCGACAATCACGCCGTATTAAATTATGTTTGGTCTTGCCTGTGATTGCAGAGTATCCAGGCAACGCGGCCCGCTGTGGATCTGCTCCGCTGCCCTGCTCGGCGCCGCRGCTGCCACCAGGTCCACACTGGGGCTGCGGGGCAATGGGAGCCGCTGCGGGTGGCCCGGGCACAGCCCCTTCCCCTCCTGGAGGGGCCGGGGGCTGCGCGGGGCCGCAGGACGGGACAGGATGGGACAGGACACCCTGCGCTGGCACCCRTGGCCCCGGGACGGGACACCCTGCGCTGGTACCCGCAGGCCTGCCTGAGCGGGCACTGCTCGTGAAGCCGGTAATAGCTTAATTTGCAGTAATTAACGGGAGCCCTCCCGGCCCCTTGCTGCGACCAAGCCATTCATTAGGGCTGTGCGCTGCGAGGGGATGGTAACGAAAAACGAGGGTGGCTGATTTGATAAGACTCAGGTCAGTGTTGTTGTGGTTTCATGAATGAGCGTTGTTGTGCAAACACCCCAGCATCGTTAGGGTTGCTGCACAGGGTCCCGGTGCTCTCCCAACTGTGGGAGTCGCAGCTGCACTTTTCCAAGTCCTGGTAGGGCGTCGGGAATGCTCCTCTGAGTACAGATGTGGCTGCACGGCAGGAACGTCCCTGACGTTTGTGGATGTCCTGGCGAGGAGGTGGTCGGAGCGGGAAAGGTTGGAATACGTTCAGTCGATGGGTCTGGGCTGCCCGAAGGCACTGGGATGTGAGCACAGCGAACAGGCTGGTGGGCGGGCAGCGCCGCCCGCTCCAGCCGTGCTCTCCCGCACGCTCCGCAGGGAGCYGCTCCGCTCCGCGGCACCGAGAGCCCCGCATCTCCCACCGCCTTCACCCACGGAGGCGGCTTCCCAGACACCATAAAATATTCAGAGCTTCCCAACGCCGGGGGAGGCCGCGGGCGAGCGGGAAGCTCGGCGGCTCGCGGCGCTCCCGGCCCCGCAGCCTGGCCAGGAACGGGCTGGTGCTTGCGGTGCGGAGCGGGCACGGGACAGCGCTTGCACGGTGCAGGGTCACTGCTGTGTCTGCTCAGAGGTTGCTGGCTGTTGGGCACCTTCCTGCAATGCCCTCCAACTCTTCCCCGTGCTCCGTGCGGGCCGGCGCCAGGGCTTGTGTGGAGCAGGGCTTGGAGCGCTACTGACTCAACATGTTTGCCTGGGAGGGGTTTGCAACACGAGCCTCCGTAGCTGCAGCGGCCGTGGGGCTTTACGGCGTTACTCATCTCGCCGCCCTGGAATTTCCCTGGTAGCAAAAATGGTTAAATTGGTACTTTTCCACATGGCTGGGCCTTCCCGGAGCTCCCCGGGAGCTTGAGCAGCGTGAGCCGAGCTGCAAGGCCTGCGCCCGGGTGCTGGCCTCACCTCGTGCTCTTCGCTGTCCTCTGCAGGGTGGCGAGCAACCACAAGCAGAACCTGATGACGGTGGCGAACCTCGGCGTGGTGTTCGGGCCGACGCTGCTCCGGCCTCAGGAGGAGACGGTCGCGGCCATCATGGACATCAAGTTTCAGAACATTGTCATCGAAATCTTGATAGAAAACCACGAGAAGGTAACGGTGCCGCTCACTTGCCCTGGTGCAAGCAGCTCTCACCTTGCTCTTGCGCATCGGGTGCCACGGTGCCCACTGCCCGGGCAGCCGCTTCGGGGGGATCTGCAACCCCATGCGAGCTGGCTCAAGTCATTTCACTTTAGCACGGTATTTCTGATCCCAAAACGGAAAGTTAGCCAAAAGGCATGCTGAAATACTCTATTGCCTGTGTCAGCATTTAATGTTTTGAAAATTGCAGATATCCATCCATTTTATTTTTCAAAGCTTTTATTTTTATAGTCTTCTGGAAAAAGGGCCGTTGTTTTAAAGTGCTGCAAAATTAAGAGATGGACTCGSTGCCGCGGTGCTGTTCCCTGCAGGCAGCAGCGTGACGGCTGAGACGTTAGTGCTCGCAGAGCAAGGAGCGCCGTGGAGGGAGCTGCACAGGCCGCACACTTCAGGCCTTTCTGCGTTAATACTCCTTTATTAGCACCGTGAAGCCCCTTTCCTTTTCCCTTTGGGCTCCTGGCAGATAGTCCTGGCAAAGGCCAGCGCCGGGTAAACTATTTATCTGACAGCTCTTTGAGTCCTCAGGCTCCTCCCTCCTCAGTCCTCCAAAGTAAGCACTGGCGCTCCTTAAAATGTGGCTATTTATTGACTTTTCTGCTCCACGAGCAGCTAATTTTAGCCAGGGGCTGTGTCGGAGGTGCTGGACGGAGGTGCTAGCAGCTCGTGTTGTCTCCACGCCCGGATCACGGGGCTCCCCTGCACCGCCTAGCTCTTGCTCCCAGCCGCACTGGGGGAAGGCGCTGCAGAAAAGTCATACCTAGATGCTTTTAGTATTTATATAGCAAGCAAATGCTTTTGCTTGATTCATACATTTCACTGTATTTCCCAAGCAGAATGCAGTGYTGGAATGCAGTTTGAATGTGGGTGTGTTTTGAGGGAAAAAATGCTGGTTGTGGGACAGGAAAGGGGAACACAGGACAAGGCAGGTGCCCTGCACCCAGTGCCTGCATGCCACGCTGGGGAGTGGCGCTTAGCTGCATTTAGCTGTGTTTTTAGCTGCATTTAGCACGCAGGAGTGACCAGGGCGGGTGCGAGGCAGTCTGGGGAATCACCCTGTGCAGACAGCAGCCGCTAAGGATGGGTTTGCACAAGCAGCCGTAGGGAAGAAGGGAACCGTGTGGCCTGTAAAAGAGCAAGGCTGATGGTGCTTCCATCACCCAGTGCACGGACCAGAGAGAGGTGTGTGCTGAGAGGCACTGTGGCCAAAGCGCTCGGCAGAGATGGGTGCTGTTTGAGAGCAGGTCCCTGGCGCATCCCGGGAGAAGAGSGTGTTTCTGCCATGGAATAAGGTGCCTGATGTGCTGAGGGTGGCTCAGCACATCAGGCACTTGTCCAGGCACTTGTCTCTGGACTGTAGGCACTGCTGGACACCCACTCCTCCAGGCTGCTGGGGAGAGGYGCAACATGAATGTTTTTGGCAGAGGCATCTTGGCTTTGCAGCATTTATTTGTAAAAACCAGCACAGAGCTTTTATGGGCATGTGCGAGGATTTAGTTGTCACATGAAACAACCCCATCAAGCCTGGGTGGTGGCCTGTCCGGGCGGCTTTTCCCACGTTCTGTGGAAGCGGATCCGCAGGGAACGCAGGGCTGGGACAGGCCAGGGGAGAGCTGCCCGCCTCGGCGCAGCAGCAAGCGGCTCGGGGAGCTCCCCGTGTCACCGAGCTGCTGTCCCCACTGACGAGGCAGGACTTGTCCCCTCTTGCAGCAGCATCGTGCGTGGGGCAGAGGAAAGGGGTGCAGACCAGCAGGATTGTGGCAGTCGAGCAAATACCAGTGTGTTTGCATGCGTGGCTCCTGCGCGGGCTGGCACCGAGGCGCTTGCAGAGCTGCTCGTGCCAACCAGGGGACCCTCGCTTGCTTGGAAGCGACTGCTAAAGAGAAACCTGCCTGTTGTTTCCCACCAGATATTTAACACGGTGCCCGAGACGCCGCTGTCGAACTCGCAGCTGCTGCTGTCGCGCAAGAAGAGCGCGGAGTCGAAGCCGCCCTCGTGCAGCGAGCGGCCCCTCACGCTCTTCCACACGGCGCAGCCCGGCGAGAAGCGTAAGTGCGGCGCGCGCGGCCGTGCGCCTTCCTGCCTCGGTGGCAGCGGGGCGCCCTGCTGCCCCGCGGCTCCCTGCAGTGCTGGGAAGCACCCGGGCACCGCTCCTGCCAAAGGAAGGACAAGCTTGGCCCGGGAGCCCTGCGGTTCCYGGGCACTGGGACCTCTGCTCCCCCTCTGCTCCGCTGGCCCTGACGTGCCGCCTGCTGCCTCTGCTTAACTTGCACTTGATTGTCCGGCGCYCTCGTTTTGGAGGGTATTGCAGTGATGCAGGTTCCCAAGGAAGCCCTGAGAGGGTCGGGGCATGCTCTGAGAGTAGCCCATCCTGTTGCTCCGAGGGCAGCAGCAAAAATCAGAAGCTGCTTGTGAAAATTTAGGAGCTAATGGACTTTTTTGCTGTTAAGAGAACAGCAAGTAGATTTTAGAGTCTCMTTCTTCCTGGCTTCTCCATGTGCCYCTTTCATTTGACCCAAAGGAGGGCCTGGGTTATACACTGATTTACCACAGCAGTGCATTCTTGGCCTCCCTTTTGGCCAGCCTGTCATTGTCCCTGCGTGGGGACTCTCCACGCCAGCAGCTTTTCCTTCAGGCGCATGAAAAAACAGCACCTTTTTTTAATTTTGGTGTCATCTCCGCTGCATGTGTCAGTGCAGAATAGTTTAAAGTTTCTTTTCCTTTCTGACCTGGGGTGGTTGTAGCTGCATGCGAGGCTCTGAGCAAGGCTTTGCACAGCACCTTGGGCCACGCGGAGCACCACGGCAGTGCTGGAAACAGCCCAAACCAAAGCTGCTGGAAGCCTCCCTGTACCCACCAGGCCYGGCCCAAGGGCTGCTTCCCTGCAGCTTCACCTTCTTCAGCCCCTTCCTTGGGAAATCCGTGTCGCTAACGCRGTGAATACTCCGCTTTGTTCCCTATCAGCTTTTCGCTACCAGCAGCGTTTTGGCACGTYGCTCTGGTTTTGTTGCTCTGCAAAGTGCTTTGCTCAGCACTTCCCAGTCCTGGGGGATAAGCGTTATCAAGGTGCCCTAGATCTCCCTTATCACCCAGAAATTGCTGCCCTGCGCTCCGGAATGGTCCGAGGCTTGCTGGAAAGGCTCCCAAGAGGAGCGGCGGAGCCCTGGCACGCAGACGTGGGGCCGCCTGGGAACCGATGGGATCAGAGCCGGAGCCAGCGCGTTCCCGGCACCGCTGCAGAGMGGCTCTCCTGCCCTCAGCAGCTCTAGCAGGTTTACTGCTTCATTTCTGGAGCTGCTGCACCAAATAAAGCATCATGGTGACAAATCCTTCACATAAGCTGTTAAAAACACCATGCCAAGTGCCGTGTCAGCCTTTTGAAAAATAAAATGAGGAGATAGTTTCAAATTCTTCCATTCATCTCCCATCCTCTTTCATGAAACGCTTTCAGCTTCTTGGCTGATAGTGCCYTTAATTCAGTATTGGCTGGTAGCGAGTTCCTGGATTACGCAGACAGTCGGCACTGATTTGTGAGGCTTATGGAGCTTATTTTCATACCTCAGCCTTGGGCAGCAAGGGTTTGGAAATAATGGAAGTGGCTTTAGAGGCCGCTCTCGCGATGCAGATCTGCCACCTCCAGCCTGTCGCTGCGGCCCTCRGTCTGGGGGAGCTTCTGCCTGGGCTGCTCCTGTTTTCCATGTCCATCCTGCAGTTGTTGTAGGGCCTGGGCGACCAGATACCAAAACCCTGGCGTGGTCTGGCCTGGCCTCCTTGGTGCTGAGCCCTGTGACAGGGTTAATTTTCCTCTCATTTCTGCTGGCTCCACTCTATCTCCTTGTCAATATTTGTACAGTTCGTTGCTCTACTTTTCTTCACTTTTGCCTCTTCTTATCTGCTGTGGGGATAATGTTTTTCATCATGAAGCATTTATGGCTCAGTCAGCACAGCTGGGACACAGCAGCTCCTTACAGCCCTGGAAGGAGCCGACGCGGGAGCTGGGCGCTCCATGGGGAGCTGCCGCGTGCAGGAGGTCGCCCGTCCCCCGCACAGCCGAACCCCACGCTCCCAAGGAGCCCGGGGGATGTTTCCCCTTGTGCTGCGTTACCATGAGAGGAGCTCTCAGAGCCGAGTGCTGCCCTGAGAGCTGGCACCCTTCTGCCTCCGTTTCCGTGGGCAGTTTGGTGGCTGTCTCAGCGGCTAGTGGCGTTTTCCACCCGTCCGCTGCCACCTGCGCTGCCCTCCTTCCACCATTAAATCAGGCTAAGGAGGATGGACAAATTGCACCGTCTTGACGGATACAAATGGAGGCAATTTCCCCTCAGCAAGCGAAACCCTTACCAAGGGCCCCCCGATGCTCGTGGCAGCCAGGCAGTTAGCCTTGCTTGAAAACATAGCTAAGTGAAGGATTGATAGCAATAACCAGGGGCTTGGTCATTGTCACCTTGTGGGGCCCACATGGGCCTTCATTAGCTCCCAGCTCGGCGGCGGAGCCGGCTCGGCGGGGCCGGGCTCTGCCTGAACTCTGCTCTCGCAGCGCGGCCGCCGGCGCGGTGCTTGCAGGGTGAGATTGAATTACAGCCCCCGCTTCAGACTCATTACCTGCTGCTGGAGCTGGCGTAAAATATAGCCCAATAAATATCTCTGAATTTGGCACTCTGGGGAAATCACTCTTGTTTATGGGCTTTTTTGACTTGGTTTGGGGAAGGCTTGGCTTTCTGTTTGCTCCCTGTATGACTCAAAGCTAAAGGGATTGTTTGGGTTTTTCCATTTCATGTGCCAGAGGTGGCAAGCCGGAAACCTTGGTTGGACAAAAACATCCTGATCTGAGGAGCCTGCTCATAACTAAGTGAATCCTAGGAACAAAGGAGGAGAAGGAGAAGTATAAATCATGTTGCTCCTTTGTTAGCTCGCTGGAGATCGAGATTAATGAAATGCAGTTGCGGGGAGCTATTGACACAATTAGCGTGTCTTTGGCTTTGGGTGATCTCTGGCAGATGAGCTCACCCAGGGAGGCTGCGTCCCAGACCGGGCAGAAGGAGCCCAGGGAGGTGCAGCCTCCATCCTGGGAGGTCCTCGGGACCAGGCTGCCCTGAGCAGCCCCGTGGAGGTCCCTCCAACCTGCTGTCCTATGATCCTCTGGTCTGTCCTGCTGCCAAGGACACCCAATTGCACACAAGGTACCCCAGGAGCTGCTCTAACCAGGCAGCTTGGGAGCTCTGCCTCACGATTACTGTGAGTACTAGCGAGCCCAGCAAAGGAAAAGGAGGTTTTTGCGGGGTGGATGATACGAGGAGGGCCTTTCAGTACAAAAGAGCCTGTTTAGACTGACTGCTGTGGAWCATCTCCGCGTTTCTAGAGGAATGAGGAAAGGGAGCTGGGCCCAGGAGGCAAATGTGCTGGAGATTTCTGCCAACAACGTTTTGCTTCAAGTACAGTGTTGATGGTCTCTCCAGACATTGCTGACGCCTTTAGGGATCTTCTCCAGCTCCAGTGGAGCGGTTGTGGTGCTTCCATGGGCTGAACGGAGGTGGGAAGAGCTCCTCGGGTGCAGGATCTGGTCTCTCTATTCTCAGCACTGCTCTTACAGGGATTTGGCAGCTTGCTGAGGTCCCCAGCTGTAATCTGAGCACGAGATTGTCACCAAGTCCTAATAACTCCCTCTTCTTTGCCTTCCTTCTCCATCGCTGGGTGTCTCCCTGCCTGGGACGGGGTTAGGCCTCGCTCTCCATCCACCCCTGAGCAGGGCATGGTCAGGGTCTGYGGCCACGGAGCATCACCAGGAAGGTCGGACTCGACCTCCTCCATGGCATCACCAGRCCTTGGTTAGTGTAATCCTGCCTGCCAAGCAGCGGGGAGGATCTGCCCTGTGCCCCGGCCAGCGCTTCTCCTTGTTGTCTTACACAAATGTAAGGATTTCTTTGTGCTGGGTATTCAGGATTAGCTTCTCATGCAACCAGGAGCTCCTCTTAGCATGGAGATCCGTTTCATCCCCTCATTAAGCGTGTCCAGCAGACCTGAGCACTGCGTATTTTCCGCCCAAGACAAGCAGGGCTGTGTGACCGAGGGATGCAGAGTGGGGACCCCCGCTGCTGGCTGCCTTTTAGTCGCTGTAGGAAGGGAAAATCCTTTCTTGGAGAGATTTGTCATTGAAGAGGGACGCATCAGGTACTGATCTGTTGTGAAAGGAACACGGCAGAAGTGGCAGCTCCCTCCATAGGACGATTTTCCACACCATGAGCGCTGCTAATTGCTTCTCACAACTGCAATTACTGCTTATATGGGAAAAGCATCTTCTGAGAATGAATTAATGTGTTTTTAGGTAGTCTGGTGCAGAGCTGAGAAGAGAGCCTAGGCTGCAGGCATCAGTTTGGACTATATAATATTATCCTGTGTAGCTGCTGAAGTTTCCCAAATGAGGCAGGGCTCTCTGTACAGCACTAGCCAGGGGTGTAAAACATCCTCGAACGAGGCCTGAGAAACACTCGAGCTGTCTGAACTGTCCCTTAACTAGCTGATCTGTCCTGCCCTGCTCCAGGCACGTGGCTGGCCGCCCGGCTCAGCGCAGGCCGGTTCATTCCTGCACAGAATTAGCATTTTAATATTTTTTCAGGTTATGTGGTATTTAAGAAGTCGTCAGGAATGTAAAATATTAATGACTTGAGAAAAATCAATGTTTTCTTACCAAAAGAGTTACTCATTTAAAATGTACCTGCACTTAAAAAAAAAAAAAAAAAGAAAAAAAAAGAAAATACTAACTATAAGTATACTATTTCTTATAGTTTAAGGTATAATATATGTGAAAACATGACTGTAAACTAACTGCCTGGCTTTAGGGAGCTGCTGCAGTCCTGKCCTGTTTATTTAAGGGCAGGGATTATTAATAGGACCGCTTCAYGTCCTGCAGCAATATGGGCTGCACTGCTGTGTCTCGTGGCCGCCGTGTGTGAGGTGTGACGGGCCCTGTTTCTTTGGTGTTTTTTTAGAGGAGAACAGGAACAGCATCATCAACTCCAGCCTGGAGTCCGTCAGCTCCTCGAACGTAAACAGCTTCCTCAACGCCAACAGCGCGCCGCAGCCCAGCCTCAACTCCAGTGATCTTGAACTAGAAGTAATTAAACCCAACAGGCCCAATTCACTGTAAGTACAGCGGTAATTAGTGTTTTATAGACTTTCCATCCTTAATCTTTAATCAGATCTGTTTCTGACTCTCAATCAGAGCAGTTCGTTGGAGAAAACAATTTAACATTTTAATTTTTAATGGGAGCCTGGTATGTGTTCTGCGTTTCTCACGCGGTTCAAGTGGTGGAATTGGTTGCTGTTGGTTATACTTGCTGGCCGGTTCGAGCTCTGATGGTTTTGAGCCCGTGGGATATTTTTCACGCAGGACTTCTCGTTGCCCTTTGCACTGCCTGACGCGCTGGTGATTACACCAGCAAGCACAAAAGAGTTTTCTTCTCGCTCAGATCCTGTGGCTGTTGTCAGCACGGTTGATCTGCAGCCAAATCTGTGCCATTGCTGCTGCTATTGCTTCCTTCATCTGGAAAGTTCAAGGGAAAAAATAGCGACCTCAGGGATGACTCCCTGGGGACGGCGAGTTATTTATGAAGTGCCYGGCCCGGCGCAGCAGAGCCGCGCACCAATGGCCCTGTCTGCAGGGGGAATTTCCTTCCTCTCGCCTCCCTGCCGGCCCCGGCAGCCTTTTCCCACAGAGCCGCCCTCCTCGTGCACGGGAAGGTTGTTCCCGAGCCCCGGAGCTCCCACAAGCCCAGGCCACCCCATGTGCTCCCGCTCCAGCACCTCGCTCCACGTGTGGCATTCCCGGCACTGCCTGTGCCCGGGCCCTGTGCCCCCTGTGCCAGCTTTCCACCGAGCGGCGAGGGGCACGAGTCCCGCGGGAGGGAAGGACAGGGCCCTGCTGGGATTAGCTCCCGCTGACGGAGCCGGGGCCGTGCAGCCTGCCCTGGACGCCCCAGCTGCCCCGCGCTCGCAGGGCTCCCGGCTCCCTCCATCCRTCCGTGCGCACGCACGTGGGCTCCCGGCTTTCTGAGCCCCATTCCTGCCATTGAAAACGTGACTGGTGGGAGCAGGAGAGTGGCTGGCACTGGCATTTGTCCCCGGAATTGCCCTGGGAAGCAGCACACCAGCCCTTGTCCTGCAGCACACAGTAGTACCTGGGCTTTGCTCCYGTGGGAGCGCTGCCCGGAGCAGCGTCCTGTGGCACCATCCAGATGGGAAGTCCCCAGGAAGGGGCCGGTAGGTTCCCTGGAAGCTGGGCAGGAGTTTTTGCCCTGTCAGAACCAAGCAAGTTTCCATCCACATGGAGATAAGGGCTGAAAGGTGAAGCTGAAAGAGCAGCCTCTGCAAAGCAAACCTTTTCTTCTCCATACCCCAACGATTTAAAGCAAATATCTTTAAATTTAAGCTGGTTTGTTGGGGGAAGAAGTGAAGTGTCTGGTTGTGTCTTATGCTTTTCAAATGCTGTTTATGGTGTTGCTCGCTGCCCCGCTCTGTGCTCCGCATGAGCCAGTTTTGTTGTCCTCGTCTTTATCCGTATTGCTGTTGTTCTCCTGTTTGCTGAATTGCATTGGTCTGTGTTTAAATATTTGCTTTTAGATTAATTTGCAGGCCCATGAAAATTCTATTGCTGAATTTTTGCTGGCAATATGGTGGTTGTTAAACATACATTGATTGCTTTTTAGCTTTTTATCCATTTCCTTTGAGCTAGCCAACGCCAGCACACTGTGTTTAATCTTTGCGCCGAATTTGGGGTAGATGGGAGAGAACAGCACGTGCAGCAGGGTGTCTTACTGCAGGAGAACGTATGGTTTTAGCTGCGTAGGGGTTTGCGTGGGCGATGCTCGTTTCTGCGGGCAGCGCGCCGTGCAGGGCCGTGGTTAGGGGTCTGTGCTCGGGCGGGCTGGCTGCTCGGTGCCAGCGCACGGGTTTCCACCGAGGCTCTTTGCAGCTTCATGCCACACTGCGCTCCCGCCGTGCCGGGCAGGGCGAGCTCTGCTAASCCGGGCTTGTGTCGCTGCTGGTCCCGCAGCTCCGGTGACGAGCTTGGAGCCGGGACGGAGCGGGAGCAGCGCGGGCTGCCCTAAGACAYGCAGGGCATGGCAGGAACGGCCTCGTGTGACAAGGTCTGTGCGGCGCCCATGCTCGTTCCYGCGGGGGCCGTGCGGGGCCCCGCAATCCTGCCCAGGTCTCTGCCTGCCTTCTCCATGTGCAATCTCAGCCTCTCTAGYTGTCCTCCGTTTTATTCCCCCTCTTTCGGGGCCCTTTGCGAAGGTGGTGGCTGACACAGTATGTCAGTGGCACACAATGTGCCTCTTACTGTTTTAAAAATAAAATGCTGCTTTGAAATGCTTGCTCCTGACGTGTCTCCCGGTAGCCATTAGAGGCTTTGGGTGACCTCGCCGTGCGTACGAGCGAGCCGGAGCAGCGTGACATGTGCTGAGTGGGAAGAGCATTTTTCTGCCGGTCACAATGTGCCGAGAGCCGAGCTCAGACCCGCGCTCAGCTCCGGTGTCCTGCGGCTGCAGAGCCCGCGTCCCGCTGCRCTCGGCCTGGAAACATTTCCCCTGTGCTGCCCCTTGGCCTTCAGCAGAGCAGAGGCCCTGCCAGAGACACGTGGCTTCCAGAGCTGGAAAATCGGGAGCAGCTGAGGCTGAGCCCAAGGCACCTCCGCGCTGCCCCCCCTTCCCTGCGCATGAGGGGCGAGCCGGGGCGTCCCACCGTGTTTGCAGGCTCCACCGTGTCTCAGTCCCTCCTCCTCCTTGTTCCTCCACAGCCTGTGTCTGCGGGAGGCAGCCGGATGCTCCGCGTGGGAGCGGGGGCCACGACCCTGTCCTCGCGTGGCCACCCCCTGCCTCTGCACCCTCCTGTGTTGCTTGCACGAACCCGGGAGCCCCRAGGTGCCCTGGAGCACAAAGCCAGGGCTTTGCAGTGACCTTCCCTGCAGTCGCTCTCAGCATTTCCTTTCTACCTTGTAGTTTCCCCTTTCCCCTTTTCCCACCTCGGGACATCAGTCCCAGGGGGACAACCCACCCATCCCTGCCTCTGGGACCCGGCTCCAGGGAAACGGGAGCTTTGGGAAGCGCTGCCTGTGCCGTCACCTGCCTATTTGTGTTTTATTTGGTTTCCCTGCTGACCAAGTCTGGCTGTTTCTGGCCCTCAGAGGACATGGGAAGAAGTGAGGGGCAGGTCTGGGCTCCGTGGCCCTGAAATAAATAGCCCTGTTACTGCAGGGCAGAGAGGCTGTTCCCACGTGCAGCCGCTCCCGGGGCAGCCTCCGTCCTCATCGCGCGGAYGCTGATGCCAGGGCCCTGAGCACTTTCCTCTTTCTGTTCCCGAATCAAAGGCCTGGGGGAAAAGCCCAGGCCCGGYGACTGCAGCAGCTCGTCCCCGCTGCTGTCCCTCTGTGTCCTCGCTGGGATTAGCGGCAGGGCTCCGGTGGGAGGCAGGAGCGCTCCGGAGCGCGCGCGGGGATGTGCCAGGGCTGCTCTGCCTTCCCCAACAGCGTCTCCGCAGCACAGGGCTCTGCTCCGGTGTCTGCATCACCCCCAACTTGCAGCATTTGGGAGATGAGTGATCCCAGCGAGCAGAGAGCTGCACCAGGTATCACTGCAACGCGTGTGGACAAAGCCAAGCAGGCACAAGGAAGGGCGAATACACCTTGAAMCATGGCTTGTTTTTGAAATTTATTTACAGCCTTTGTCACTTCTTTTTCCACTTTGCATAATACCTGCACAAACACGAGGCGCTCGTTTCCCGTCTGCGGCAGAAATGAGCGGCTTGGGGCTTCCTTTTGCCCTGTGGTTGGGCCGTGGGAGAGCCGCACCATTCGCTCCGTGCACCGCATGGCACTGGTCGGCCCTGCTTTGCTGGGTGTTTCGGGGTGGAAAATGCCAAATTAGGGGTTACAGTCATGCCGGTGGCACGGCTGGCGTGGAGCGGGAAGCAGCACTGGGGGCCCAAAGGGAGACCGTGGAGCTGCGGCTGTGAGAGCGGTGGCCTCCACGTCCAGCAGATCCCGCCTGGTCAGGATCCGTGTCGCCGAGCGCCTCGGATCCGCACAGCGAGCAGGGAGGTGCCGCTGCAYGCACTGAATCTCCATAGAGAGACCTGCAGCTAGTGGTGATGCAGAGCACTCAGCATGGTGTGTATGGGCGTGCATGCGCGCCTGCAGCTCTCATGTCTTTCCCATGTTGGCTTTAAATAATCCCGGATTTATTCTAGTGCTTCTTGTGCCAGCCTGCAGTGTCTGGGGTGCGTGCAGCCGCGGGCTGGCAGCGGGGCGGCTGGAGCCCGTGCCCAGCCCGTCCCTGCCCCGGGCGCTCCGCTCGCCCGGCTGGCTGACAGCCCTGCAGAGCTGCGGCTCGGCGCGCTCCTGGGCTACAGCCTCTCCACAAATTAAACGTGAAAATTAAGCCAAATATTCCAAGGAAGCCGCCAGTTCTGTGGCTAACCCCATGCAAACTAGTAGTCAGAAGTCAAAATAGTTTCTATGAATCCGCTCATTAAAACAAAGCTAATTTGTCCGACTAAGTGCTCTTTTTGCTAACGTGATCAGAAGCTTCTCTGGTATTTCCCAGCAGGAATGAATTACGCGGCCGCCGGGGATGTGCTCCAGCGGCGCCGGCGCGGCCGCATCRCTCCGGGTGCTCCCAAGGGCGAGCGGCCCTGGGATGGGATGGGATGGGCACAGGGAGCCCCAGCCCTGGCCCTTCCATGGCCTCTTTCCTGGCCCTTCCGTGGCCTCTTGCCTGGCTCTTCCATGGCTGCTTCCCTGGCTCTGTGCCGCTCAGCGAGCGCTGCCCCTCCGGAGGCTCCTGCTTTTATTTGCACCACTCCATTTGTGTGACGTGCTGGGAAACATCTGAGGATGCTTCTCACAAACGGAATTAAATTAGAGTCATAGAGCTGTGTCCAAGAGATCTGAGAAAGAGCCTTAAACTTCAGTATTGCTTGCACTTAAAAGACAGCACTCTGGAGAGCCTGAGGAAGAAAGTACAGACTGGCACTCTCATTGCTCCCTTAATTCTTGTAATTAGTGTGGAGATAGCTGCCCAGCAGTGWTCCCTTCAAAGAAACTGCCTGAGACAAATATTGCCTAATGGAAATTTTACTTCCAAATA